AATAAAAGATACCAAAGAGCATATTTACTGGACATCATGTTTCCAAATATGACTTCACTGAAAACACGTTCCACATTGAGTGGTAAACATTTTCTCTATATCGTTTAGAGAATGATTTAGTATTAAACGGCTGTTTCACTAAACATGAGCCCTCTGGGGAATCAGTCACAGTATTGATGTGTTTTTGCACCACTGGTTAGTCTTTCACAGTACCACATCCTCTCTTTGTCTCTGCAGAAACTCCTTTTATGAATCACTGAAACAGATCGGCTCAGCACAGCCTCAGCAGGGGAATGCAGTCGGTTTGGGATCATACGAGACCATCCAGCACTTCAATGACATCAAGGAACACCTGCACATGGTGAAAAGGGACGTGGAGCACATGGTCCAGCGTAATGCTCAGGTAGGTACTGATCACAGTCTGGAGCAGTTTCTATAAACTGATCAGAATTAAGCTGACTAAACTCTGAGCTCTGTTTGTTTCACCGACAGAATCCTGCTGAGAAGGCTATGAAGTGTCCTGAAGTTCCTCCGATGCCCGCCTGTTTGTCCACTGTTCACTTTGCAGTATTCATTGTCGTCCAGTCAGTCCTCTTCTTCTGCTACATCATGTACAAGTAAGACATCAAGCATTTGATTTGTCTATAATTATGCTTTTGATTTAAGCACCTTTTCTATTTGCATGATTTAAATGTTCTTTTCTCCTGCAGGAGTCAACAGGAGGCAGCAGCAAAGAAGTTCTTTTGATGAGATGAATTTCTGATTTGATATGTGTAAATGAGGGAATGTTCATTTTGATAATTATTTTTTTGATTGATCCTTTCAGATTGTAAGTTATTGTTCTTTGAAAAAAAAAATGCTTTTCTTGAAGAAATTTGTTTTAATTACGTGCAGAGTTTTAATTTGATCCGAAAATGGTTGTGCGTGAATGCTGGTGTGAGTCTTTTTTGCTCTGGATTTTCATCATGATGTAAAATGTTTCTTGCAGTATTTTTTGGGTCGGGTCAGATCTTTGGATTTTGTTGTCAACAGTTGAAATCTGCCACTATCTCATTTCATGAAATCGAACTGTCAACAAAAGGAGACCTGTGTTTTGAAAATGTGCAATTTTGTATTAAATAATGCTGAGCTATTGACGAACAGTCAGAGCAGACGACTGCTTAAGTTAGTCTGTTTTGATGGAGTCAAACATGTCAGAATCTGACATATCCACAACCTGAACAATTTACATAAAGTGAGAAAACAAGTCACTCCTGTGGTGTCCGCCTATTCTGTCACATACAACGCACACACCTATATTCAATAATATGTCTTATCATTATCACTGTATTTAGCATATGTATTGTATTTAGCAGCTGCAGACCATCATTTTGTTGATATGATTAAAAAAATCTCTCAAATTGTCGACTGCATCGCTGAAAAAGGGAAGATAGTAATGTTAAAACAATTAGTCTTTTACTAGTAAAAAAAACAAAAAGGTAAGTTGATGTTGAAATACAAAATTCATTTTCGAGTTCAGTGAAAAGGAAACTATCAGCAGCTGCAGATTTGGAGAGGCCTCAATGATCCCCTAGCAATATACAAACAGCCATTATATAGTCTTTACATTTTATAGCTTCACATTGAGCAAATGTGTACAATTTTAATTTGACAAATATCAAATTAATTCTGCTATGAGTAATTTATTTCTGCTCTTTTAACAGTTACAAAGTATAATCACATCTGTGCTGCCACTCAAGAGCTGTTAAACCGTTTTTCGCTGTTTTTATAACAATGAAAAAAAACGATTTTTTCTGTATTCTGATGGAAGCTCTACTCGCAAAGATCCATTTCTTAGTCTTATAAAGCAAACAAATATTCTTACATCAGATAAGATAAAATGCAATATAGAGCAATATATGTTAAAAGCACATTTTAAGATAGGCCTACAGTGATTTCCTGAGAAAACTTGAAACTGGCTGCACACCCTCATCTATGGGGACTTATGAAAAGCAGCATTAAGACTAAAGACCCAAAAGCTTTGTTTGTGGTTCTCTGAAGATGTACTTCAGAACAAAAGTAAATGCTAACGCATTTGCTCGCTAACATTTGCTTAAAAGCAGCAAAAGATTTCACTCAGGCTGCTACTAATAATAAACTTTACTTATATAGGGTGGGAAGCTAAAATACTTTTATAAAGTAGGCTACTTCTATGTTCAAGGTTACAATTTGAATATACAAATATTTGTAATGTCAGACCAAGACATTTGAATGTGAGCATTTGGATCAACACAGACTCTTTTTGCGATAGCATGCAGTTAGTTGACAGCTAGCTGTTAGCTGTTGATCACAGTTCAACAGTCCTACACGTAAAGACAGGAAGGCTGACAATTCCTGGCAAATGTTGATGTAAGCTCGCTAACAGTAACTGTAATGAAAGCTTGCTAACAGTAACTGTAGCCTGAGGAAAGCTTGCTAACAGTAACTGTAATGAAAGCTCGCTAACACCCCAATGTCCCTCTAGATTTTCACTATCCATTCACATTACAGTTGCTGATAAATTGAGAAGCCAGTCATCTATCAGATTCCCCCAAATCTAATGTTCAAAATTTCACTGAAATCTTTGAAGTTCAAACTTTTTGGTTTCACTGATCAGGAAGTCATTGGCAAAGTCATTACGAATCATCATGTGGGGAGTGTGAAAGTTTGTACAAAATGTGATGACAGTCCATCCAAACGTTGTGGAAGTATGGATCAAACTGGATCAATGTAATGACCAATTGACATTAGGCTACTGTTCTAGGTTCAGAAACATTGAGTCACACTGGTTCAGTGGCGACATCAGTTACATTGCGATTCATTCTGAAGGAGGAAACACTCGATTAAGATACTCATCTAAAATGTATTTAGAGATTATTTAGGCTCTGAAGTAATCCTTCTTTAATTGAATATGATGGACATAACTGTTATAGTTGTATTAGATATAAGATGACTTTATTGTCATTCAGACTATAGCCTACAGTATCTAATAGCCTCCTGTGGTCAGGTGTTGCAAATTAGCATTTTGCTAAAAACACTAAGAGCAGTGCATCTGGGACCTGTGCATGGTTAAATGTTACAGCACCAATGTTACTGTATAGCCATTTTCACATATGCACTCTGGATAATATCTAGATAATTGCAGGAGGATGCAGAATTTCCTGAGGTAAGACTTGACGTAAATAAACAACGCGGAAGTAGCGGCCGAAGCAACAGAGTCCGCTAAACGACGTTATAATGACAATATTTGCCTTTATATCAATGCTATGTGTAGTCCAATGGAATGACAACACCCACAAAAGAGAGGAGAACAACATACTGACGAACAGAAAACAGTATGCAGCCGTTTAATTACGTGCACGGAGATCGTAGTGGTCGCGTGCAGACACTTTAGGCAGTCACTGTATATAAACATCACTCGGGTCCCATTGGCTCGAGTTGAAATCTCCAGAGTATATGCGGCCGCGTTCAGACATCAGCTCACTCGGATATTCTGCGGATAAAATACTAAAGGGGTCTGGCCGGAGAAAGTCCGGGTAAAGTCCGCGCGAAAAATGCGGCTGTTTGCGTTCACACATAGCCTTAAGAACCTCCGGGTAGCCAAATCTCTGGAGTTTTTCAGGAGATTTCCGTATGTGTGAAAAGGGTTTAAGTCCATGTCAAATAAACAAATAAATAAATATGAGACAGAACAGTTTGTGCAAAAAGAGAACAGTATGAACAAATGCACGATAGTCTGTTCAGTCCTCCTATGTTACTCAGCGGATATTTCTTTTATCAGTTGATTTTTGTTTGGCTGGGAGTTCAGAAGTCTTATTGCAGTGAGAAGGAAGCTTCAGAAGTATGAATAGTATGTGGTTGGTGTGGGTGGCGTAATAAATGTAATAAATAAGTATGTACTATCGATATTACATTCTAACATTTTACATGATTTTTTAGAAGTTCAAAGAAGAAGAACAGATGTAGAGAGGAGTCATGCAGCCTGAGGCAGGGGTTTATTTATATCATACATATCACTGTGATGAGGCTGACTTTAGGTATTTATGAGATTACTCCCTTGGGTTTTATTGACTGATGCACAACACACACCTTGACATCCAGGTTCAGGAAGCTGTGCTGCAGGACCTGCCTCTTGCACAGTCCCCCCATTTTCCATTACAGTCTGCTTGACCCTATAAGTTAAAGAAGGCAATGATAAATAATGTATGCCCCGGTTTTGTATGTATTTTATTAATCTACATACACTAAAGATGCATTGGCGTGGATCATAACTTGAGGACATAACTGGTTGCAGATGAGGATTCTGAAATGTCTGATTGCTCATGAATACAAGAGCTATTTTACAAGTCCTTCAGCAGTCTTACAGATAGCGACAGAGTAAAAAGGTGAAGTGAAATGAGAGCTGTCTCCTCCCCATCTCTCATCCTCCTGTCAATCATCCTCCTTCTGAACAATAGCACGGCATGAGCGGTGGCTCCATAGGGGGATAAACAAGACTCTAATCCCGCTCCTCTCTCTCTCTCCCTCCCTCTCTCTCCCTCTCTCCCTCTGCTCTGTTGGTCTCAGCGGTGTAAGCTGCACACGGGCCGGCCCGTTCTTTACTAATATGATTAAACCCAAGTGGGCGGAAGCAGCATATGTGGTCCCAAACTGTGGACATCCACCTCCAAAAGCAGTTTTTGGTGATTTCTGCGCTTTGCTCTTCATAAAAATGCACAAGTGTCAATAATATTCAGAAAACACATCTACAAAGGTCTGAATGATTTAAAAATAGATAGAAAACAGGCCATCTGCCTCTTAGCATAGTAGAGCAGGGAGGATTAAATCCAGATTATGGCCGAGGCAAAATGTTGTGTGTGTGTGTGTAAGCGTGTGTGTATGTCTGTTGCTTGTCGTCAGTGTGTCCTTGGCTCCATAGTGAAGCAGCAGGTTAGCCATAGAGTTACCACTGGATTTGACAGCTTTAGAAAAGCGAACCGGAGGGCATCATAAAGGGAGCAACAACTGTTTGGTTTTTTTAACTACAAAAATATTCTCTGTCTCGTAAACTTGCCTGTAAACTCAAGATGGCTTTCTTGATCAAGAGCATGATTGGGAACCCCCTGTCAGGAATTGGTCTTGGTGGTGGAGGTGACAAAGAAGAGGAGGCCACCCCCTCAGATCCAGCCAAAGCAGCAGGGATGACACGCGAGGAGTATGAAGAGTACCAAAAACAGGTGGTGGAGGAGAAGTAAGTAGCAACACCGACTGTACTCCACTTTGAATTCTTCTCATTGGCCCGTCCAAAAGAGAATGGCTGCTGAGTGTTCAAACTGACCTTGACGATCTGTTTTGTACCACGTTACAACCCTTCCATGTTCAATGTTTAATTCCCCCTGATTATTACAACACTTAACTTTTTAAACCCTAAAACGACTTACATTTTAAATAATGTGTTTATTATTTTTAATGCACTGACAACAAGAAAACTGCTTTTAAATGATGCATCTGTTGCTGAAGGTCACTGAAGAGACGCTCCATATCGTTTGTCATGGGTCCTGTCTCCCATAATCTGTTTCTTTTTTATGTTTCTACATAAAGAGCAGCTAGGGGTTAAATTATGAGGGAGCTTCTTTTTTTAAAACAACTGAATGAGGATCTTTAAAATGGCTTATACAGGAATTTAGGGCAAGAAATGTTTAATATTTAGCATAAAAGTCATTTAGAAAAGGAGGATCTGAGGCTGTGCAGCAAAGAAAGTGGATGAATGATTGAGGTAGTATTTGTAAGAGATTTATGTTGACACACTTAAAGATTGGACATAAAATGAGAAGCAGGTAGATCAGTTTTGTCCACCTCTACAATACGATGCTGTTGACCAGTGCAATAGTCATTTTTTGTTTGTGTATTAAAGTCCATTTCCTTTCCATTAAAACAAACATTTTATCATGCAATCAAACCTAGAAACGATGACATCACGCCATCGGAAAATAATAGAAAATGTACATAACAGAAATTTCTCAAATTGATTGAAATCTGGAATTTGGGCTTTTGTGATGCAGCGTAGATTTTTTGCAGCATCAAGCAGATCCAGTTAGTCTGTATTACATAACAGCATTAATCCAGCCCCTACACTCTCTCGTGTTTTGGAAATGACTTAAAAAAAAAGACAAATTCCTCCATCATTGCTGATTTCTAGAAATGTTTTCAAATCCACATCAACAAATCCTGATCCACAGAAACGTTTGATTGAAGCTGAAGGGACAGAACATGAAGGACTACACGTGTTTGTTCAAAATTTGACAAGTAAGATCAAAACTATTGGCTGGATGGAGTACTTAGTCAAAGGTTCAGTATCTTGATGGTCTTCTACCCAGACTTTTGTTGTTTCACTACGGTTCAAGTTGCGGTGTCTTGGCTTGATTGCAAATCTGCTTGACTCAGTCTGGCCTAATAATCCCATCTTTAATTGGCTGAGGGAAAGTATGCAAGTCTCACCCTGGACGTGCAGCAGTATGCAGGGTGCATTAAAGTGCAGGCTACAGAAACTGAATGAAATTAATGGGCTTTGAAAAACTTGACTCCACTTAAAGTCAAGTCAAGACTTTTTCTTTACTGTGTTGTAGTAATGTCACAAATAAAGTTTCTTTTACTCATAAGATAGACGACATACTCTCCACAGCTAGTGTATTTTCTGTTCTATGACACTTCAGAAAGTTAACTCCACCATAATCACTGACAGTAAAGTTTCTGTATTTCAAAGAAAAGTAGATTAAGTAAGCTACAGATTCCTGCTAAAGCCATGAAAGTCAAGTGAGAATAAAATAAAGTGCAAGTAATCCATATCCAAATCTTGTTGACACGCCTGTGTTTGAAGTAAAAGCATTTAAAAGAAAAACAAGTTTGACATGTTAACTCTTTCAAATTTTTCCCATCTTTTCATCTGAAACCAAATGTGGGGGGAGGGGGAAGTTGAAGCCATGAAAAGAAAGTTTGCGAGGACATTTCCAATTTCGATCTTTTTATCCATTTATGACAATAAAGGAAAAAAGTTTGCAGAAAAAAAGGACTGCATTTTTTTAACCTGTTTGGTCAATGGGGATGAAGTTCTGCTATCTGTGACAGAAGAAAACTTTTATGATATATTTATTTTTTGCCGTTTCAAAAATATAAAAAAGAAAGAATGTATGCTACTATATATTCAAAATTATTCTGTCTTTAAAATGTTTTTGTCATAAACACAGGAAAAAAACAAACATCTAAAAAAAAAAAAAAGTCTAAATATTTTGGTTGTTGAAAGTTTTGAGAGAGAGTCAAACACTGTAAAGCCAAAGCAGATACACACAATGTGACTACATGTTATTTACATATTTCCTGACTAGAACTGATTTTTAAAATAAATGTAATCTTTCATCTCACATTAATTGAATCTTTTTCTGATGTGATTTCCTGCATTTATGATATTCAGGTGAACTGAACTATGTTTTCATTCATAGTATTAGACTGATGTGTAGATCCATGTTGGATTAAGATACACAGATTAAACCAGTGGATCAATAACAACAACATTTGATGACAAACAAGACACAAGGTCATTCAGTTCGACCTTGCTGGTATTGTCTCCCAGCCTTTGTTGGATGTTTGAAGACGAACAATAACGTTTGCCATTCTAACAATATTCTGTTTGGATTTCAGGATGGAGAGAGATGCAGATTTCTTACACAAGAAGGCAGAGAGGGCGACACTCAGGGTGTGCCTCAGAGATAAATACAGGCTGCCGAAGGTAAAACCCCTCAAAGATCTTACACCTACAACTTAAATCATCTACTAAAACATCATTTATTGCCATAGAAGAAGAAATTATTTTAAGTATTCATCATTTTCAAGCTGACACCTTTCTGTAACTCCATTAAGTCTTTATAAGCACTATAAAAATATTTAATATTTATGTATGCATGTTTTGTATTTATGTATGAATGCTTTAACTGTCCTCTATTGTAACTTTTACCAGTAAAACATACTGTATGTTGTTCATTATAACATCAATATATCATCCGTTCATTCACCAGCTTCAACTAATGAATCCTAAAGGAGTTATGATTAATCACATTTCAAAATGTAAAGCTGCTTAAAAAAATGAGACGTTATTTACCATTTACTTAAAGTAAATAGCTCACTCATAATCATACAACGGGGGGTTAAGTGTAATTATATGCATCAATCAGACACCAATGATTATGCATTTCTAATAGTCTCCCTTTCTAAACAATTGAATTAGGACAGGTAAACATATCCATCATTAAATGGCTTTAAAGTGACCGGCCTGTGCAAGTCGAGCAACAAATAGCTGCCTCAAGGCTGAGGTCATCTTTATCTAACAGCAGCACTTGGCAGAGCTGCAGGTCGTCAACAGGAGGTGGAAGCGCTGCCAGTAGATTAGCCAGAAAGACGTTCAACCAGCGTTCCTGGAGACGTTCATGTCCCACATTGCACTTTGAGTCTCACAAAGCTAAAGCTGAGCAGGTGTCCCCAGGCTCATTAGAGAGCAGCACCACCGAGCAGTGTGGACTGGCTTTAAGAAAGAGCGCCGTCTGCTTCAGTGGATGTAAACGCAGTGATTTTTTAAAAGGAGTCTTGAAGATCATTTGGCAGGAATGGAAGGAGCGAATAAGGTAGGCTACGTTTGGAATTAACATGAGGCGTTTAAGGTCAACACCAGCAGAGTGTGTTTTAAAGCGTCCATTTATCTACAGAACTTTCCTCTAATAAACTTTGTGGCTTTCTTGGCGTATGAAATAAACGGGCTCACAATCTGTTTTCTAATAGTGTGATTTTGATTCGTCTGAATGCGGTGATGACCTTGGCTGCTTGAGGCGTCTCTAATACTCTCACCCCACAGACGCTCTTTTGTTCCGTTAGCTTGCTCAAACAATGGCTGCATTTCTTTTCACTGTTTGTCTTTTAAATTGAAACCATGCATTTCTGATTAGAACAATGGCAAGGATGTTACACATATAACTCTAATTAGTTTTCTTAAATGATGTTTTCATTGCATGTCAGCAAGAAGAAGAACTAATGACAAAGGCCATTATATACATTTTAATTGATTTCCAGCAACAATTAGACACCTAAAGGCTTTGTTCTTCTTCTCTTTAAATAGGTGAGAGGTTGAGGTTGTATATTCATGCAACAGAAAGTGAATTAGAAAACAGTAGTTGTATATCTTTTTATGGATCCAAGCGTGAATTTCAAGTCAAGGCCGGAAGTTGGTGTTGGTAGTCTAATGGAATTAGAGTCTCGTGCAACACTATGGAAGATATCTTTAGACTATGGTTGGGATTGACGGAGGAAAGGCTAAAGCAGGTCTGAGATAATCCCACAGATTGACGCTTAAAGTAGTCACAGTAGTACCTACTGCACGACTCTTCCAGGTAAAAAGTGATTAGATTTAAATTGAGCATTTCCATGATGCACATGAGAAGTCCAAACAGTCTGCCAAAATGATCAAATAAATAAATACAATAAAATAAAAACAGGAGGACATCCTCCAGTGCAGTACATGGATGTGGATTAAGACAAATTCTGGAGCTCATTTTACTCGTCTCCTAGCTTGCCTGATTGCTCGCTTATAATACGAAATGAAACCCAGAAAATATGATGTCACATGTTTAAATAGTAATAAGAAAAATATTACAAAGAGGACAAAAAATTGTGACCAACTTCATGTTTTTTAGGTCTGTGCTCAGATTCATGCTACACATTAAATAAATCATATTGGATATAATGCATTGTTTGTCATATCTGAGTGCAGTGGTTGGTGAGTTTTTTGCATGTTGTGGAAATCAGGCGGGCAGTCAGCATGTTAATCCTGTAAAAAGCCTTTAAGTCAGTCTTTAGGTTGTTTACCTCTGAAGAATATTTCAATAATAGAAATATACGCCGATTGTTATGATCAGGGAAAACAAATAATGCCCTCCCTCATCCCTCATACTGAGGAAATATAAATGTAATAACAGTAAGGAATATATTATAGACTAATTTATCTTAGTCCAAGAGAAGAGAGATTGGAGAAAAACAAAACAACCTGTTTGTTTTTTACAGATTTCTAAACAAAAAAATAAGGACCGTTGTGTTTGTGTGTGTGTGTTTGTTTTTTGATGTAACAGAGACTATTTTGTCCACAACATATATAATCCAGATGTCAAATCATAGCCTGTGAATCTGACCATGTTTTCTTCCTGGTGTTGTCATCCCTCAGAGCGAGCAGGACGAGAACATGATCGAGATGGCCGGGGACGACGTGGACGTGCCCGAGGAGCTGCTCAAGATGGTGGACGAGGACGCCACGGAGGAGGAGGGCAAGGACTCCATCATGGGCCAGTTTCAGAACTTGCAGAACATGGACATGGACCAGCTGAAGGAGAAGGCCTCGGCCACTGTCACCGAGCTGAAGAGCAAAGCAGAGGAGAAGTGCTCCGTCATGTGAGGGGCCAGACGGATGAGTCTGTGATTGAATTTAAAAAAAAAAAGGAAAAGAAGGGAGAAGACAGGAACAAAAAGAAAATGAATTTCAACACTTTCTGGGAATCTGCAGACGTGGTGATGAGTCGCCTATTATAAGCAGAAATACCCAAATCATCTTTGTGAAATAAAAAGTAAGTTGCAAATTGTGATGCCCCACCTCTCCCTGCACGACGGTTTTCTTTGGATCAATTACGTAGAAGTTACTTTTTCAGAAAAGTTTTGCTTTTCACCTCAATTGTCATGGTCATAAGCTCCACTACATACAAAAAAAAAGTTTATTATTTGTGATGAAATGTTGACTTTTGTTGGAAACTGAGACAGTCACGTCTCAAAAACGTCTCAAAAAGTGTGATTTAAATATTGTTATACCAAGACTTGCTTATGAAAACCTTGTTCAAGTAATACACCAATCCTGTGTGAGTGTTTCAACTTTCCTTTTGGTTTGCTGAATAGTTTTTTTTTTTGTATGTGGTGTTTGAACTAAGTATGATATTTAGATTTATTTTTCTGTCTGTGTTATTTCAAATCAAATTACATCAGAACATCTTTGTAAGTCTTGACATGTTCATTCATGCTTATGTCTCCACATTCATATTGTAATCGTTAAAAAAGTGTTGCAGAGACATTTTTGCAGTTTTGCACAAATCACAGCACTGAATGATTTATTCCGTAAGAGTGACAACATTGTACATAAACACTGATAAAAAACTATATGGAGGTACTTCAAACTGAGAAAGCAGATGTATTGTTCAAATAAAGATGAATATTGAATATATGACATGTGTCTGTGTTTAGTTGTGAAGCTGGAAAATGTACAAGATTTGGTGGGTTTTTTTTGGTCACTTCCTGTCCAGAGTTTGTCTTTACAAAGCTCCATGTGCAAATCAAGTAAAATACTAACGATCTTCACTTAGGAAAAGAAAATCTTGTTATGCTTACAGACTAAAATGTTGCAAATGGGGCTTTTTAAAAAAAATGTATTTATTTTTTAATTTAAAGGCACAACAAATTAACACAATAAACAACAAACCACAACAACAACATACGGACACATTACAACAAAACAAAAAAACGCACAAAGACTAACAACGGCAGTTTTCACAATCAGTATAGAGCTAAATAAAATCATTCATATTCTATTCAATTGTATTTGATGTTCCTATACACATTACACTGAACCATTCCACTTTTAGAAATATTGCCAATGGGGACCATTCCCTTACAAAAACCTCAAGAGTACCTCTGAGTACATGAGATAATCTCTCCAAAGGCAAGATGGACATCAGTTTTTCATACCACACTGAGATATCAGGAGGATCTTCACCTAACCATTTCTGTAACACTGTGAGGTGTACAGCATACAAAGTAACTCTGAGAATGTACTGGTGCCTACGGTCACAGAAGTCCAGTCCAAGAACATAAATGATGAGGATTTAAAGGAATATAACGCCCAAATATTTTCTTTATCTCATTTTGGACCGAGAGCCAGAATTCTGTGATTTTAGGACATGACCACATAAAATGACCATAAGTGTCACAACTACTTTTACATTTCCGACATAATGATGAGCACGTAGGGTCATATTTACATCTGATAGCCGGGGTCACGTGCAGTCTGTGGATGCTACTGATAGTAGGGATGTTGACAAACATTTGATCATATAAAAAACTTCGAGTATTTTTGTTTAAAGACAACGCTTTTAATAATATATTTTCCAGCTGAGTCATATAGAATACAGTATTATATGCTGGAATGGATTTGATATAACTCCTAAGTTGTAGATAACGGAAAAACTGTGTTTGAGAAAGTTTAAATTCATTCATAAGTTGGGAGAAAGATTTTAGAGTCCCATCTAAAAAGAGATCTTGTATTTGTGAAATACCAGCACTCTTCCATGTTTTAAAACCCCCATGTGAGCAAGAGTCACAATCCCAAAGTGCAAACGCACACGATTCCACGTTTTCAAGGTGTTTCTGACAATAAAATTATCTTTCACTCCTTGTAGACTTAATGCATTGTTTATGAATGGCATATCGCAAAGGGCGGCTTCACATCCAGTATTTTCTAAATCCAGAAATGTAGAATTGGCATCATTTTTTATCCATTGAGTAATGTATGTCATTTGTGAAGCCCAGTGGTAGTACATCACATTTGACAGAGCTAACCCCCCTTTGTCCACTGGTAACTGAAGTTTCTCCAATTTAAGTCTTGGACGTTTATCTTTCCACACAAATGTTGTTATCATACTATGTAATGATTTAAAAAATGTAACTGGAATATAGTTGGGTAACATCTGCATTAGATATTACAGCCTAGGGAGGACATTCATGTTTACAATAGAAACACGGCCAAGTAATGATATGGACAAAGGGCTCCGTCTTTGAAGATCTTTTGCAATTTCACTTACCACTGGGTCTAAATTCATTTTTAACAAATTATCAAAATTACTTGAATCCCTAAATATCTAAACCCATCAGAGGACAACTGAAAAGGTATGTACTCTGCTAAATCAGAACATATTAAGTTTCCCAACGGAAAGGCCAGTGATTTTCCAAACTTGACTTTATATCCAGAGAACACCCAGAACTCATTTATTATCTGGATATGTACTTGTTTTTGGACATTATGGTTTCTAATTGAAATCCTCAGCAGCATTTGAAATTTCCAGCCACACAGTAATTCTGTTGTATCACCATTAAACATGGGAAATTAAGCCCATTACCCAAAGCAGGGCTAATGCAGTAAATAAAGCAAAAAGGTCTTAATTTAATTGGGCATTATCCAAACACTTGTTAGAGATGATTAGGAAGAACTGGAGGGGGGGGGAATCCTCAACATTCAGAGTTTCACATGGACCCAAGTTTGAACGGCTGTGGATTTATGAAGTCTGGAGATTACCATCTAATAGGATCAGCAGAGCCAAGGTTGTCAGCTCGTGCCCCAGCTCTCTCTGTCTTTATCTCTCTCCCACACTCTGAATAGGAATACCAATACACACACTTTAGTCTTGTAACAACTAAAATATATTTTTTTTATTAAAAAAGAAGATTAACTAACAGCTAGGCAAGCAATTTTGGCTTGTCAAATTCTTCTTCTGATGATTAAAATATCACTTATCCAATTAATGATGCTTACTAATCTACTTGATTTTTATGTATCCGGCAAAAATATGAATCTGTAAGTAAGAATGTATTTGGTTTTTTTTCTTGCTGAGAGTAAATAAGCTCATAGTAGGCTATAGCCAACAGGAAATACTACTGTAGACTCTAAGCTTTGCACCATGGGGAAAGACTTATGGGAAAGACTTAGCATGGTTCTATCTAAAGGTAACAGAATGTCTTTAACTTATTAAGCTAATTTATTAAATGCAGCCTATTAGCTAACTGAGTCACTGCTCTAATACAGCAAATGTAACGTAGGCCTAACAGCAAGGAGACTAAAAGCTAAGCAAAGCAACATGACAGGAAACATCAGGAAAGAGCTAGCCTAGCTCTGTCTGAAGATAACAAAGTAATAAACCAGCAACTGTTAACTGTTGAAGTGTTTTGGTTAGCTGAGTCATTGCATCCAGTAAACTGCAAATGTGAAGCTACAGCAAGGAGACTCTTAACTTAGCTTAGCAAAAAGACAGGATAGAGTAACCTGGCTCTTTCTATAAGAAAATGTACCTTCCAGTTCCTGTTCAGCTAACTTAAACCCTTTTCACACATATGGAAATCTCCTGAAAAACTCCGGAGATTTGGCTACCCGGAGGTTCTTTAGGCTATGTGTGAACGCAAACAGTCGCATTTTTCGCGCGGACTTTACCCGGAGTTTATCCGGCCAGACCCCTTTAGTATTTTATCCGCAGAATATCCGAGTGAGCTGATGTCTGAACGCGGCCGCATATACTCCGGAGATTTCAATTCAAGCCAATAGGAAGAGAATGACGTTTATATATAAGTGTCTGCACCGCTACGATCTCCGTGCACGTAATTAAACGGCTGCATTCTGTTTTCTGTTCGTCAGTATGTTGTTCTCCTCTCTTTTGTGGGTGTTGTCATTCCATTGGACTACACATAGCATTGATATAAAGGCAAATATTCTCATTATAACGTCGTGTAGCGGACTTTGTTGCTTCGGCCGCTACTTCCGCGTTGTTTATTTACGTCACGTCTTATATCGTCCCCAACGCCCTCCCCTCTGACAGGGAAAGTCCCCCGCTGTGAGGAGCATACGTGAACGACTAGGTCGGGAGAATCTACAGAGAAGTCCTCCTGTAAATATCTAGATATTATCCGGAGTGCATATGTGAAAACAGCTTTAATAAATGTATAGCTAAACAAGTTACTGCTCTCAGTATAGATCAACAGGTCGACTTTTAGTAAAGCTTAGCAACAAGACAGTAAAATCAAAACATTTGAAAAGAGCTAGTCTGGCTCTATCTAAAGGTAACAAAGTGTACCTGTAAGCACCTATGAAGCTATTATTTTTTTTAGCTAACCAAGTCTCTTATTTAAACTTAAAACAAATATAAAGTGACAGGAAGGAGACTGTTAAGCTTAGTTTAGCTCAATGACTATGAGGTAACAGTTAGCTCTGACTGAAGGTTAAAAAAACTGTAGCTATCTACCAGCACCTTTAGGGTGTTATTTAACCTGTTGCATTTTATGACATTCAATGTGTTGGGAAATAGTTTGGTCATAGTTCTTTCTCATCACGAACGGATAACCTCCTTTGTTAAAATATTACACAAATGATGTCGTGAAATGGTCAAATTTGGTCTAGTAAAGGAAAAGCTCATGTTCTGGGTCGAAGTATTAAGTAGTAAGTTATTTTACAATAAATTCAATTTTAAACTTGAATTTACAACACTTTTTGATGTTGTAAATCTTGTGAGTTTGACTTCTGTATCAACGGGTTCTTGTTTTTTGTCCTATATATTGTGCTGATTTAAAACATTTTTCTCTTGATATTTATTCCTTGTTCATAAGTCACATGCTGTCTCTGCACTTTAATTCAGTTGAGACTAGAATTAAGGAAGCAAAAGATATGTATATGTAAAATTGCCTTTAAAAATTGTGTGTTTTCCAGACCCTAGATGAGATCAGGCAACGTTTATTTTTGTCATCTTTGTACAAACACTTGCTACTTGCTTCACTCAGGTTCTAGTCTTTGTGCTAAGCTAAGCTAACCATACCATCTGCTGGCTTCAAAGTGGTGATCTCAAAAAGAGTTGAAAAAAATCAAGCAAAAACCTGCAGTTCCTTGAACTACCACTTGTGGCTGGCTCCAAAGCCGAGGAGTCTTTAAACTTATTAAAAGTTAGGTTCAGATAGCGTTTCCAATATGGCGACCACCATCATTGGGCTTCAAAACACCTCTTGAAAAAAAAAAAAAAAGGCTGACGTCATTGAGACTATGTCCATGTTTATACTGTCTATGGCTTCAGCTTTATGAACCAAACAGATTGGATGAAATTTTTCAGAACCTCATTTAACTCTAGGCAAACTAATGATAAGTGGGTTTTTCTCTCTCTCACTCTTTTTGAATGACAGTTATGTCAGATTAGTCAGAGTAATTATCGAAATCAGACTTGAAAAGTTGCAGGAACATTTTTTCATTAGTATTAAATGTGACACTGTTTTACTTCTCACGTCTTAATTGTGTATTTTGAACACTGGATGGTATTAAACTGACACAGACACTTAAGTTCAGTTATTCTTACAGATAATCACGCCCTGTTTGTTGCAGAAAACACAAGTGAGTCAACAGAGCATCTTCGACAAGTTTTGCCGTTTAAATAAAGTTTGACACGTGGTTTTGGAGCTAATTTAAGGAGTGCTCAGTTAACATCTCTCTCCCTGTGCCCCCCTCTTCTGTTAGCCAAACAAAGGATAAGGTCACCTTCTGTAATTAGGAAAAGCTAAATAGTTTTAGGGGTTTTAACTCTTTTGAGTAAAATCATGTAATCCCCTTAAGAAGGATTACCACACTGCTGTCAATCTTTGTTTGCAGTTAAGTGGTTATAGCCAACATTTGTTATTCTTTGGGCTTTTTTTTTTTTAACTATGTTTGACCTAACATGTAAAAGAAACTGGTAAAAGAAACTCTTAATGATTTCAACTGTTTGTGATTCATTAAGACATTATTTGATTGACTTTTAAGCCCTTTAAAGTTTCTTTACTCGATAGGAGTCAGGGGCGGCATGATTTTTTTGCTGTAGGTCAATAAAACAAAAAAAAAAATCCCTCTAAAAGAAATGTCTTTTTGGTTTGGCAACAATATCTTGACACTTTGATTAAATATTAAGCTGTCATCTTGCAATCCATGTCCTGACCAGAAATCTTGTAATTATGATTTTGTTGTACCTTAATCTGTGGGCCTAATCTTCCTCTTTTTTCGCAGACTGACATGAACATGACATCTGGAGGAGTGGAAAGATGGTTTTAAGATTTATGTAAGTAGGTTTAGAGCCAGCACTGACTGACTGATGTACTTGAGATGGGGAGGAGTTACAGGAAGAGAGGAGGCTGTGCGCTGCTGGTGCCTGCATGTGCGCACAGTTACCCCTAAATCCAGGACCAAATCCATCAGGACGTCCCCTCTGTGACGTGCTGCGGGGGTGCCGCATGGGCAGGGGGTCTTACAGGAGGCAATACTTTAAAAGCCCCTCTGAGGATGCTCCCTATTCACTCGCGTGTGCGTCTTTTGCTCAAGTTTTCCAACAAGCTCGGCTCTGGTTTAAAACTTTACCGAACACCGGAGCAGCGAGGAAATCTGAAAGAAGTTTCATTTGAGTAATTTTGACCGTCTTTTTTTTTTTTTTTTGGACTTTTATCGACAAATGTGGCTTCTTGGATCAGCTTCCCAAGTGATGATGATGATGGATGAGCGCCTGTCTCCCTCCGCACGCGCCGTCCAGAGCCCGGGGGACAACCAGTCCACCATCCACAGCATAGAAGCCATACTGGGATTTAGAGAGGACACACTTTTCCACAAATCAGCCTCCTACAACATGACGGAAAAAGTCCTGGTCCGAGAATCCGAGCGCAACGGGAATGTTATTGTGACCCCGATGAAAAAAAGTCACTCCTCAGAAAGTTTTGACAGTAAGTCGGTTTGGTTTCCTCCAAATTATGATTAAGATGAAATTATAAAACCGGGCACTCTTGTTTCAAACATATAATAAGAAGATGAAATGTGGGTTTTCTAGGGTAAAGTCTTTAAGTTTATTTTTTTGTTAAACAATTATAGTCTTATATGTCAGGTGTCATTTCGTGCGCCAGGCGCCTTAGCCTATATTTTATCTGACTCAGTGACAAAAGATTTAAATATATATATATATGTATTAACAGTCTACATTTAAAAGTAAATGTGAAACATCTTTAAACTTGATTTTTGTTTTCTCTCCACTCAGGTGTTTGTTGCGCCAGCAGCGCCGCTGAAGTCTCGGTGTGTCCGGACTCACCGGACAGAGACGGAAAACTGTCCGACGACGAGAACCCGAAGAAGAAACACCGTCGGAACCGGACGACGTTCACCACTTTTCAGCTGCACGAACTGGAGAGAGCGTTTGAAAAGTCCCATTACCCGGACGTGTACAGCAGGGAGGAGCTGGCGCTGAAGGTCAACCTGCCGGAGGTCCGAGTGCAGGTAGGTCCCAAATACAGACTTTTTCTTTCTTCTTCACTTTCACGCTGCAGGCAGTAATGAGGGCTGATAGCCTAAAGTCACTACAGTTCTTTGGCTTAAAGTGTATCCAAACACAAGCCTGTGAGAACATGTTAACTGTCTTTTCAGATATTACAATAAACTTTCCACAATTACAAAATGAATAGCCTAGATCTTTAAATGAAAGGTTATTTTGCATCATTACATCTGAATCAATTAATAAAGTAGAAATGTTTGGAAAAAAGTTTAAACATATTTCCCAACATTAATACTTTTATTTTTCTGAATATAGAAATCCAAAAATATTATTTAAATCGTAGACTATTGTTCCCACAAACTAATTTATTAACAGTTCCTCTAGCCGTTTAGAAACGCAAAGAAAGTGCAAGTTTTTTGTTTCATGGTATAGTTCAACTGAAGAAAAAAAATATATGGTCAGTTTTACTTTTTAAATATAATAGGATTGACTTTGTTGTAACTTTTTTTCAGCAACATTTCAACATTGAAAGAAACTGAAGCGTCTAAATTAGTTTTTCCCTGAAATTATGATCACGACTCATTTATTTGTCTTTAGAAAAGTGATTGAATTCAAAATGCTGAAATGTACACCGATATATACCCTTCCATCATCCATATTTATAAATACAAATGTACACAAAAATGACATTTTTCATATTGTTAATGCAATAAATAAAAATGCCTGTTTTTAGACTAACGTTTGTCGTTTGTTTTAGAATTTTAAAGTGTTTTTCTACCTCCACTCTCCTCTTTGTTGACTGTTTGGTGACCTAGAGGGAGAGCTTTGTGTGCAGTTGCCCTTGAAAAATTAATAAAAAGAAAAAAATAGTTTAAATAATAAAAACTTGAATTCCTTTCCAGGTGTGGTTCCAAAACCGGCGTGCAAAGTGGCGTCGTCAGGAGAAGCTGGAGGTGAGCTCCATCAAGCTCCAGGACACCTCCACCTCCTCACTGCTCTCCTTCAGCCGCTCCCCCAGCAGTGCGCTGGGCTCCGGTCTGCAGCTGGACCCCTGGCTCTCTGCCCCCATCACCTCCTCTACCTCCCTGCAGTCCCTCCCCGGCTTCATCACCGGCTCACAGGCCTCCCGGGCACGTACACCCCTTCTCCTCCTGCTTCCATGCCCTCCTCCCTGTCGGCCTCCTTCCTCAGCTCCCCGGCTCTGGGACACAGTCCTCACCTGCCCCACATGGGCTCAATGTGCCCCCCGCCCCCTGCCTACCCCTGCTCAGCTGACCCCAGGAACTCCAGTATCGCCTCTTTAAGGATGAAGGCCAAGGAACATATTCACTCTATCGGGAAAACGTGGTGATGCTGAGTGGAGGAATTGACTTTTATACCCAGAATGCATCCGACTGCAGCTTCTGAAAAACGGACTTCATCCTCATGCCGATGGGATTTTATATTGGATGTTTAAAAGAGTGAAATCGGAGGCTGACATTCAGGACTAGATTCATCCTCTCCACTTACGAGGACAGCACTGTGCTTCAAGTTTCCCTGTTTAGCAGTTACAAGCATTCCGCATTTAATGAATGGGCTTTAAAACACTTAAAGAGACAAGACATTTAAAAATATTAAAAAACAAACAGTGATATAAATGATGTCTCCATATAGAGGCCACAATAGTTGATATGTTCTATACATTTACAGACACTTTACACAACCTTCTTAAAAATACATTCTCATGTATTGAACCCATTCATTAAATGTTTATTAACTGCCTATAGATGCTAAATACGGGTGAATTCAAGTCTTGAATTCCAGGAAATTTAAAACTAATGAATGATGTCGACGGTATTTTTTTCTTCTCCTTCATCTGATGTGTTCACTGTACATTTTGACATTCATTCAGCTCACTCTTATTTATGTCCATCTTATGTTATGTTGCCAGTAAAAAAAAAAAGCCCTTCAGCGTCGATCACTTTTTCATTTTACTTCAGTAAATGGAGTCCTCATCCTTCTTCATCGTCCCTGCTGTTATTCTGGTTTTTTGATTTGAAATCTTAACAGATGTGTATATTTTCTTGATACAATAAACTTTATATGTAAAAATCAACAAAATAGTGGTTGATTACGCTTTCACAAACATCTCTTGAGAATCTAAGAAAATAGAGAGTTTGCATATACGTACCTTCAATGCAAAGGTAAATATTTTGCAAAATAGCATTAATGTAAATGAGCAGACGTATGTTAAGTATTAAAGTGTCTTATTACCCTCAGAATGAAGGTTCATGACAGCTCAGCCCAAAACTATAGCCCCCCCTAGTGGTGGGTTCTTTAAACCTGTCTGTCAGTTTAAGGGAGGGTTGTTTTTTTCCTCTCTTTATTTTTTAATTTAAACATTAATAAAACAAGCATTATAAAGAAAAGGCAAACGTTGAGGTGGATTTAAGAGCAGAATTCCCCTTTTGTAAACTTAAATTAATTTGTAACTGCTAAAAAAAAATGTATGGGTTCAAATAGTGCCACACATACTTTCACAGTTTCACAGTATTTTAACATTTACTACTTTTTAATTTATAGAGCATGTGATTATTAAGAGTCAGCTTAAACTCCCAGACTTCCTCCCTCTGTGTCACAGAATGAGTTTGTCAGCCCACTTATTTCCTCCTCATTAGCTCCTGTAAACTTTATCCCATTGGATGCTGGGATTAGACTCATTATGACGGGGTGAAAGTGGCTTGTACCTCCATTGTTCGCCAATCATCCGTGACGAATGAGGACAGAGGACAGCAGAGAAAACTTTCCTTTTGGCTTTAAGAGAAGGGATGTGTGTAACCAAATTGTTTCAATTAGCATTTCCTATTGTGCACAGACCCTGAGGGCTAATAATCACCACCATCACTGTCCATCCTACTGTCCTAAATAGACCCCTCTGTGTGTGTGTGTGTGTGTGTGTGTGTGTGTGTGTGTGTCGTAATAAGAAGCTTATAGGCATCAAAACTCACTGAATTTAACTGCTTGTGATTTGTCATCTTTATAACTGATCATTTGAACTCTTCATTCTTTACCTTACTGGTGATTTAATCATAAAAAAAAACAAAGAACCTAATGATGTGGATAATGTGCGTCACCTGGTGGTACAAACTGGTACTGCAGGCGGATCGTGCAAAACTTATTTCCAAACTAAAAGATCTATGATCAAATATAAAAAATAAAAATAAAACAGAGGCTGCAATGCAGTTTTCTCAATGTAACATTTTATTCAGCTTTCTCACTTGTTATGTTGATCAGAAAAACAAAACATATACATTTATTGGGTTAACAGTGTATTATTATTACAGCAGAATAAAATAAAAAGTGTGGATATGTGATAACGGAGAACATTTTTTTAGGTGGACTTGTTGTGCTGATGTTTCAAAGCCAGTAGAAGCAAGTGAGACATCTACAGTGGAGAGTTGAAAAGGAGAGAAATGTGTCAACTTAACATCGTAATTTCAAGAAGGTGAAGTTAGACAGGAGTAAATAAATCAAAGGAAAGTACAAATCTCCAAACTGACCTCTCTGAGATATTTGTCTCTGTCCTCTTCTCTCCAGCCGCTGCGCAGTCGCAGCAGCCTGTCTGCTATCATCGGCTTTTGGTTCTTTTGTGGCTTCAGAGCTTCCAGCAGATGCTGGCGGTCTCGCTCCATCACTGTGACCCCGGCTGCTTCTGAGAGTGTGAGGTAGTCACCGTTTGTCTCCTGCAGTTCAGGCAGGCTGTCAGTGCTTTTCTTTCCCATCAAATGACCTGGAAGATAAACACAACAGGATGCATCAACTTGCTCTAAGAGAGATCTGTTGTGGTCTGTGGATCCAGCTCAGACAATAAAGGCTGTAACCTTTTAAAAAAAAAAAACAGAACCAAAAGATTTCACTTTTTCCAAAACCCTGATGGTAACACTGATAAATGTATCAAGTATGTCTCCCTTCAAACAGCTATTTCCCCCTGAAAAGAGATGCAATTTTTTTTTTTACAGAAGTTAACTTTGAACTGTTTCTAAATAAAAAACATTATAAAAAAGAAGCTCCAGATTTGTCTTCAATGTTAAGATCAAAAATTAATTACATTATCCATCATACAAGATTTGAAGGTTTTTGAGATGCGTACACTATCCTCTAAGCATGGGAGACAAAATATGTTCTTTTTTAAATATTATATTTCAATGAACAAATAAATCAAGCAAATTTCAAACTTTTTTTTTTTTTAAATCACGTTTTTCCTTATATGATCTTGAAAATGAGAAGTTCCTCTTACCTACAGCCCAGTGATTGCCTCGTGGAAACATGTTCCCATCATCTGCAGCAGGTTGGCTCTCTGAGCAGTACAACATGCAGGGGATTGTGGCCAGAATAATCAAAAGTGGCCACACTGGTCTGCAGGTCCATGAAATGCACATGAACTCTCCGCCCATGATAACACCAGAGGGAAAATGTCAGATACAAACCGCGGCAGGCAGGCAGGTGGTTATATCTATCCTTAATTGTAGTTAATCGGCTTTATTTAACTTTTTAAAACATGCCCTCCCTCGTCGATATTTAGCCTGTGAGCGGATACCGTAGAAGAGAAAGTCTTCTGCTGCCGACTTGTTGAACTTCCTCTCTCGGAGCCTTTAGAAGAAGTGACTGATGTGAAAGTTAAGAGCCCCCTCCTGATACAGCTGTGCGTCAGCGGCTCTTTTTCAAACATGCACGCTGCCAGCCGCAGGAGGAGACCGTGATGACAAATTCTCTTTTCTAGCCTGTAATTATTATTGCACGGCTCCTCACTGCTTGTGGAGAGATTGCAGGGTCGCTGCAGGAGGCGTCAACGTCATTTTCACGTTGATGGACGAGACTTCAGAGTCATGACTTCCGTCTAAACATGAGGTGGCCAATAAAACCCCACGATGAAACGAACCTATTCAGATCATTAGAAAAAAGAAGCCATTATGAAAAGGGGCATATTTCATTAGTAGCCTGCTTGTGTCGATCAGCTGAGACAGGCCTATAATTATTGTAACTTAAACATGTTAGGGTTAAGATAGAGGGTTAACTATTTGTTTGTTTGTTTGACTATTGGACAAGTTAGCCCATACCAATAATTGTATATTACAAAGTCATCATGTCATAATATTTCTTTTCACACGTTTAGTATGTTTCAATGATGAATCCCTGTTTCAAAGGAGCCAGAGATACAGTCGAGATTGCATTCTGATAGGTCATTAAAGTACTTTAACATTGTAGGAGATGCACATTCTCACAGAGAAAATCTATTTATTAGAGTGGCTATATGTGCAAAGCCAACAGACAACCTTACTCTTCCTCTTCTTCCATATCAAATTTTTTTTCATTGCTCAAACACAGCTAAAAAAATAGTTAAAAGTTAAAAAGATAAACTTTCAAACTCCTCACAAATTCTAAACTTTCTCTCATCATTTGAGGCGTCACAAGCAAAACGGTCTATTCAATTATCAAAATGAGTCAGACACACATGTATATCCATAGATATTACAAGATGTTTGTGGTGTCTGCTAAACTGGCCGATGAGCTTCCAGCTGAAATAAATTAACTAGGAAACACATGGGAGATGACTTTTTACATCAAAGACCAAAGGTACATTTTCTATATCCAGTACATGTAACACATTGTTACACAAACAGATGTACTGATCTTCATGTGTACTGCTGTGTTGTACAGTTTGGATCTTTCCCACTAAACTTTGACCTAATGTATAAAATCTGAATTTAAAAAGATCAGTATGATACAGAATAAAGAAGCACTCAGTGAGTTGAAAAAGAATTGTATAGAACGGTAAGCAGTCAGTGTCAACAAACATGTTCAAGAAATGGAGATGTGTATATAAGAAACTTTTCCAGGATTGTCTGACATGCTGGCAGAAACATTTTGACAAGCACGACTCGCACAATGACAAAACAGCTTTTCATTTTGACGGCAGTGACCATTTATATTTTGAGTGACTTACTACAATTTGCAAACATGCAGTAGAGTTTTGATGGACCATGAAACTGTTGGGAAGATTGCACTTAATAGTTTATAGAAACATTAAGACATCATGTTTCGAAAAATGAGCCAAAATCATTCAGAGAAACTGAAATAGAAAAATTGCAAACGTAAAAAATTAAAGTTAAAAAGATATGAAACCCCATTGGAAAAATCAACAAAATAAGAGCTTAAAGTCTCTCATCTTTGGGGCTTTTCAGGTGCGTCATACTTTATCATGAATGGATCATTTAGAGTTCTCACATGGCACACATCTTTAGTGGTCCAAGAGGAATGTTCATGGCTTATATGGTTTAAAAAGAAATTGCACTTTTCATTTTGTGTCTATATATATATCAATCAGTTTTAGATTTTACAATGAGTGTGTAATATGCAACATGTTCACGGTGGGTGATGTAATCGCTAAAGTGCACGTATAATTTTTAAAACACTTTGATCTGCAGCCGACTCTTTTCACTCAACACACATACCTTCACACTTAAATGAAGGAAAATGTATTTTGTAGCTGTCGTTTCAGTTTAAGACGAAATTGAGTGACAGCTTTGACAGAGTGTTTCCCAGCAAGAAGGAGCGTAGATAAAGTTAAAGCAACTATTAAACACAATCATAATCAACAGTCACTGAAATGTATGAAGCTGGATCAGTTAATCACATAGTACAAGACATGAACCGCACTGTACTGACCTCTGACTTAAACGTTACTGACCGTTTCGACTTCACTTATAAATGTTGTTGTTAGATGATGAGGGAAAACTTGCAGATAAAACCTTTTGAGGATGATCATTCAGAGTCAAGCCAAAGACACCTCCTTCATTTTCATATTATGATTATTACCTGCTGCATTTCTATGAACACGATGTACTCCACCCCTTGCACCCGAAAACCTTGTTTTCAGAGCAAAGGAAATGAGGCCAAATTAAAAGCGCTCACACTGGTCAAACAAGAATGACTATAATGAATATTTTTTACTGCAAACACCTGACTTTAAGGATCCAACAATGCTGCATATGTTTCATTTATCTATACAATATTACGGTGAATTGAATCCCCCCCCCCCCAAGGAAAGGTCAACAATAGGAATAAAAAACGTGGACGTGGTGTGAAGTTCTCATTCTTGACTGATCTCTTTCTTGACAGATTGTTGCAGGAGGAGAATCCATGAGGACAGATAGGAAGTCCACGCAGGTAAGTAACATTTTGCGTTGAAAAGGTTGAGGGTTTCCTCTGGGTAATCTTCAGGTCCCAACCCCCTACACACACAAACACACACACACACACACAATTACATCCCAGACGGATATAAGAGGATAGCTCTGGCTCGTATCGTTTCCCCCGTATAAGATGACCTTAACAAAACGAGATGAATCACCAGTGGTCAAAGAGCAGGATCAGGTAGGACACACAGGACAGTGCCATCTGAAATATTTGTTAAGTAGACTTTTATGCGAGACGACAAGATCCTGCGTGGGATTCTACAACTAAAAACAAGTAGGGAAGTAAATAAGAATAAGTGATACATTTATTAGTACAGATATATTGTGTTTCATTTTAAGTTTAAAACCTGTCGCACTGATGTTTCTTAAAGTCAATATAAAAAAATAAACAAGGCTTAAAAGTTGAAACAGTCAAATACTGTGCAGAAAAGGTAAAAGCTTATCACATGCAGAGCAACGAGGAGCTGTTAATCATTCACTGGTTCATAATTAAGTTCAATAATAGCCACTTATGTCTAAAGGCCAGACCACGATCACCCTGCACACCACAGGAATCATTGCACTCAATCAATCCAAACCACAACCTGCAGGCTGCTAATTACAGGTGTGACTTCAATAAACTCAGAAAGTTATGAAACATAAATGTGTACTACCTGCTTTGTGATAGATCCCACAGTAAGCATAAAGTATATATAGTATAATAACTCTGAATGTAAAATCCAGATTCACCCTGACGCGCATTTGTTTGGAGTACAAACAGCAGATGGCGCTGTGGGGTGAATTTAGAGGGAGCTGAGTTCATGAGTCGTGTGTTGTGATGAAATCAACATTAAAGTTGTATTTTATCATATTGACACATTTATTTACACCTTAACACGTAATAAAATAAATGCAACAGTGACTACTGGTTGAGTCTGCCAATATTATTACCTTTAATAAGTATATTTACATTCTATTTCTGCTTTATTGTAATTTTTAAACAGCAATATTAAAAAAAAAGTTTAACTATTATCAGGCTAAATGTCTCTGCCAGCTCATTTGATTTAATTTACAATTAAGGGAACAAGAAGTGATCTCACCCTGAAAATCTCGGTTTGAGGCGTGAGAATAACACCCTTTTTCATTTCTATTGATAGTTTCCATTCTTCTCAAATGTCCTACGATGCATTAAATGTTCTGATGGTGGTGTCATGGCTGTAATGGCATTGGATCTATGAAAAGAAAAAGCCTTTAAGGGAGGCCTGTCAGCTGCAAATTGTCAATTAGAAAGGACAGTTTTTCATTGTGAGGCTTCTGCTGTTGGGACTAAATCACCGAGCAGCTGTCTTCAGATGCTAACATCTACTTTTATACTGCTTCACCAGTGACAGATAATGAGAAAAAAATTATGATTACTTTAATTTGCAAATGGGTTGGTTTGATGTACAGTACAACTATTCAAGAAACAAATGTTTCTCTGTTTCCATTCAATCTGAAGTCAGTCGATATGTCCCTGATTGCAGCTATAACCCTCTAAAGACATGTTTTCCTCCTTGTGTGATGTGTTTTTAGAATCTCTTATTTCTATTTTATTTCAAGCACTTTATGAAGGTTCCTTTGCACTGACCAAATGTCATTCTACGTGTACAATGACAAATAATGATTATTCTTATTCTTTAAGATAAAAAAATATTCCAGTTTTATGGTAAAACGGTGTTTTAAACTCTGCATATATATGGCAGAACTTGATCAAAGATCTATTAGTGAAATATTAAAACTAACACTTCTTATGTAAGATAATATTCTCGGTGCCTTTTGCATAAGTTTGATACATTTTCGAAAACCATAAAAATAAAGACAAGACATTTGGATATTTGGAAAAAATTAAAGAAAGTTGAAGGTACCTACCTCTTAATATTTTAAATAAAATGTCAGTTTGAACAATGCAACAGCATTGGTACCGACTGATCCGTTGGTGAGCCAACATTTTAAAAGCTTTAAATTGATTAAAGTGATTTTCAACCTTAAGTGTTAATTTAAATCTCTATGGTGACAATATATTTAAAGGGATACAAAAATTACAGTTATTATAGTTTTTGGTTTTTGTAGTTTCCTTGTAAAATATTGGGTCATTTATATCTCAAAATCCTAAAAGAAACAGTCAGTGAAGGTAACATCTTTCTCTGGTTAAACATTGTTTCCACATTATGGACATAATATAATAATAATGGTTGCATTTTTATTTCAAGGTGAAAAAGCAAAAATGTGCCTGAAGCAACAAGGAACAATGGCCTCATCTTTGAAGAATCCTTCTGTTGTCTCAAATTCCTGCTTTTATAAAGCTAAAAAAATACATTTTCTTTAATAGGGACTGATTATACAACAGTTTTGATATTCTACAATCACAGAAAATACATTTCTTGGATAAATGTTGGACAAAGCTGAACTGCTTGAATGATCTCATGCAGCATATTAAGACAGGTTGAGATGGTAAGCCTGCTGCTGCAGCAGTAGCTCCTCTTTCCTGCTTGTAGCCGCCATGAATGAAGCTTACCATGATGTCATGTGACTGTGTTTCTGTTTGGGGAGGGGAGCAGCGTCAGCCTTCTCTGCTGCACTCCGTCTGTCTCACTGTGGAGGAAGGAGGCGCTATGAGGGGCCTAGTATGATGTACACACTAGGCTGTAGGATGTAGATCCAGCTGTCCCACAGTGTGCAAAATGTGTTTATGGTAATCAAAAAAACCTGGCATGGTCCATCTTAGAGGAGGCTGATTTAATGCTGCAGCTTGATAGGTATGCCAGATCTAACAAGGACTGGTAGCAGGCCAGAGAGAGGCATCCTTAGCTGAAAGCCTCACTGCAGTCTCCAAGGTAGGTTATGAAATACTTCACTTTTTTTCACATATTTATTCATTTATTTTGGATGTTTAACTCATGTATGTACATCCCTCTGCAGACAACATGTCTGTACATCCCTCTGCAGGCAACATGAATAATCAAATCAGGATAATCATGTTTGTATTTGTGAATAAACAAATTGAAGTTCAAATTCTAGTCATGCCATCATTACATTTTTTTTTTTACGGCATAGATTTCTTTGTGCTGCATATGTGTGCATGGAGGCATTTGTCCTGTGTACATTACAAAGGAAACAGCTGGATTGCATTACATTTTTCTGGCATCTCAAGCAACAAGCAAAAGCAGGGAAATTGCGTGTTGACCTTGGCATTGGCAGAATGCTGAAGGGCAGGTTAGCCTAAGCTTAGGCCTTCAGTATTTGTATAATATGCTGCTGATCCATTATGTTTCTGAACACTGATGAACCACTCAGGAAGGAGACTTACATTAACACAATCTCAAACCAACGTTGTCCAGTCGATATCATAGCTATATCCGATGATACAGGCCTAAAATATGAACATATTTATATCCCTTTTCTGATCTTATCCTGCTCATTTCCTTTTCTTTCTCTCCATCTCCCCCACCTCCCTCTGTCTCCGTCTCCCTCTCTCTCCTCTCTTTCTCTGCACCAGCTGCTGCTGCTGCTCCAGAGCCAGAGTGAAGAGTCCCCTCACCCCCCCTGCACACACACACAGAGACAAAAGGCCCGCTTCGCCTGCTGAACACTGCCCCCTTTCTCCATCCGTCCCTTCATGCATGGCTGTAGTGGTGGCTTCAGGAGAAAACGAGGCCTGGACTGGGACTAAACCTGACCCAGTGAAGGAGAGGGGGAAGAGGGAGGGAGGGAGGGAAGGAGGAGGATGAGGAGGAGGATGAGGGCTGGAAGGGTTGAAGCTGAGTGAAGGCAGGTGCTGAGGCCTCTACAGGAAGACTGTCTTTTCCCTGAGTATCTGTCATCAAATCTGACAAAGGGTATGCCACATTTACCTCTATATACGTGCATGAACCCGCATGTTTGTTTGAATGTGTTTCTATGTGTCGACTTCTGTGGGTAGGGGGTGGCATATGTTTGATGGAAATCTGTGAAAGGGGGTGAAATGAATGGCCTGTGTTTGCCCAGGTCACACTGCTGTGTTCTTCTTACATACCTTGTTTTTTCACAGTGCTTGGTGTAATGCTGCTGGCGGCTGCAAGTTTTTTATTTTATTTTATAGGAACCACCAGCATTGTCTTAGGGTACAGGCACAGGGGGATCTAGTTAAGAGAAAGGCAGAGGTATTGAATTAAACTGCTAATGCCTAAATGCTTCACTTGCGTTTTTCCCCCAAATTCTAAAATATATTTCATGATTTATTTTCCTTTTCGTTAACGATATTCCGTTTCTTTATTTGCTTAAGTAACTGTGCTTATCCCATCACCTCTTTTTGCAGTGTTGTGGCTTTATTTGAATTTAGTGTATCTCCTAAAACTAAAAGTATCCAAACCACTGTGTGCTTTCCCCCCTACAAACACACAAAAATATGGATTTTTGGTCAAACATGTCGCAGTGCTTCCTGGGATGTGGGCACACTGCTCCTGCCTGTGTGTGTGTGTGTGTGTGTCTGAGGCCATATTGCAGCAGAGGGCTTTATGCTGGGTGACCGGAACCAGCTGAAACTGGTTTGAGGCAGACAGAGGGCTGACAAGAACAATGCTGTCTCTGTGCTCCACTGAGGGATAGGGATAGACCAGGCTCCTCCATGGCAGCCATTGATGGGCTCTGTCACTGGCTTCCTAGCACAGGCACAAACCCTGCTGCTGCTGCTGCTGCTGCCGCTGCTTGCTACTGGCTACATGTCGGTGTGCTTCTCAGCTCGGATCATAGCGAGGGGGGCAGGGAGATTTAGGAAGAGATGAGGACAGGGGGACGTGGCTGGCTGGGAGTGTGTGAATCTGCAGCCTGCCTCACACTCACACTCACACTCACACACATACACATATAGAGGAGTATGATCCATCTAACTGTTTATATGTCAGTGCGCCGGTAGTGGTGGAGGGAATGACTAAGGAGAATCCTTACCAGGACCACAGCCCGCAGTCACCAGATCCCTGGATGTAACCTGACCCTGTGATCTGGGCCTTCGCCTGGTTGGGAAGAAACAGGACTGTTTTTTTCCAGGCAGGGTGGGGTTGATGGCTTTTTGTGGGTTAGCAGTGTTGTGACTGTGTTTGTTGCAGGATGAAAGGAAGGAAGGACAGAAGGTTTGGCTAGTGTCTGGAGAGGGACGGAGGCAAGAGGGTGAGGAGAGGCTGTTTACCTTGCATATTTCCACCATTGCTATCTTACATTTTGTCTTTCTTTTTTTTTTTTACTGAGATTGTAGTTGTCTTTTACACGGTGCATTGTTTTAAGGTGGTTGTGATGCATGTGTATTAAACTGCAGATTTTGAGAGTAGTTTTGTGTTGTGTGTGTTTCAAATTTGTCAGAACTAAACCTCCATTTGGTGTAAGTATCAGGCTGCTGCTGTGGCTGTCATGGCTGTGACTAGCTGTTCTTTCCACCAGGCCTTTCTCTCTCTCTCTCTCTCTCTCTCTCTCTCTCTCTGTGCTGCAGCTTCACAGAGCACAGCAGCCATTTTGCCCCCCTTCACTGCCTTTTCTCCTGCCCTCTCCTACCATAACATTTCTCCCTCTCTGTCATTTTTTTTTTAAATCTTTGTAGCTCATTATTACAACTACCATCTAAACTGAACTGATTGTTGACATTTTTACAATCCTAGGACGAAACTACAAGATGTAAGTCTGTGTGTGTGCAGATGTGGTTGCTTTGCATTCGGATCAAAGAGGCTAAGACTGCAAAGCAAAAGCAGCGTCATGCAGCCTTTTTGCCCAATCCCACATTCATAATACATAAATACAAGTTGCATCTCAGTCCTATCATATCTTATCAACAGTGTTCACTATCAAAACAATTAAAAGATTGGTGTATTTTGAAGCATGTTACTCCCACTCAAAGCAAAGTTTTCCGAACATCATTAGTCTTCACTTGAAAAGGGCAACTATCGAGATATGGTCAATGTCACCTTATCAACAGTCTTCTTCTCTGTCATCATTCCACATTTCATTCAGCACACATTTTTTTTCCTCCAAACAAAACAGCTGATAAGTCAATCCACTGAGAAGTCAAATTGCGAAAATCACATCAACATTCATCTATATCGATCTTCAAAAATAGGGTTGCTCTACTGTAATCAGACTTGATTCAGATAATTGCCTTGTTTCAGCATTACCTTTTCTGTAAAAGTTTAATAGGTGTCATTAGCACACTGGCATACTATTTTTTCCCTCCATATTTAATTTGTTTAATTACAGCAATCCTGAGAATTTATTGATTGAAGAGGTTTTCTTGAGTCCTTAGATGTAATGCCATCAAAATGTCAAAACTACCCCCTGTGTGGACCAGCATTTGATTCCCAGTTCACTGACTTCACCCAATCAAAGACAAATGGTTCATACATGCAGGAACATTCATGTAAGTAAGTGTTGTACGTCAGCTGAACTTGCAGCCTGATAATGAAATGAGCACGGAGTACAAGCTAGTAAAGCATGAGAGAAATCTCCAGCACTAGACGCTGTGAAGAAGTCATGGTTAACCTGGTATTTCTTGAGCTGTACCGTGCATATGCACAAGCACATTCTGTGGTGAAAAATGAAACCTCAAAATAAAAAATTAAAAAACTGTGCTTTTGTGCTAAGATGCAAATGCAGCTCCAATTATTATGTACACTTCACAAAAGTTAGACCTATGAAATAAAGCAATTTTATATTCTGTATATATACTGTATATATTTATATAAATATGTTGCCTCAGCTATTCACTGCTCACCTGCCCAAATGCATGTGTGTATTTCTTTGTGCGGAGAGAGACAGCTAACTGGTGCGCAAATAATAGCTAAGTCTGATGGATGCAGCTATTTCGACCAGTCTGTTCTGTACTCAACCATGCAAACATTTTCTCTGTTTAATATGCAGGAATTGTAAACATCACTGTAAATCTATGCAGCATTTCTGCGCCAGACTTACAGATGTTGAATATTTTGTGCGCAATTCTCACAACCATGCACCAAATTTCAGGCCCTGGTAGTTATTTTGAAGAGTCATTTTTGAAGAGAGAAAGTCTAATTTGTGATTTATAATGGACAGTATAGCATAGGCATGTGTTATGCTTGGAGATTTAAAGTTTGTGGGCAGATATTTATAAGAAAATAACATTTTACCAGATCATGGACAGTTTCACTATGGATACAATTAAGGGTTTTATAAGCTTTGAAACAGACAAACAAACAAAAAACTGAAGAATAAGCTTCACATATGACATGCCATAATCTAATATAAAAACTGCCATGAACTAAGAAGGATCATAAAGGATCGGCGGTTATATATGCAATGTAATTCTTAGAAATAGTAAGTGGATTTTTGGCAAAGAGAAATTAGGTTTAGGTTAAAAAATTGTTGTTCTTATCTGTCTCATACAAAACAATATGTCAGAGATATACAGTATACTGGTGTGATAAAACAAATTCAGATTGTGTCACTTTGTTCAAATGCTTTATTAATCAGATACATCAACTGTAGAAGGGTGTCTGTGCACAATATATGCTCCTATTGTATTGATAAACTGAACACTCATTGTTCTTCAAATTAAATCTGTGTCCCCTAGGTGATCTCCTTATCAAAATAGAAGGAAGACCATGGGAGATGTGAAGACGCCAGATTTTGATGACCTCCTGGCAGCCTTTGACATCCCTGACATGGTGGATCCTAAGGCTGCTATTGAATCTGGTCACCACAACAACCATGATGGACACCTAAGCAATCTAGTGGCACAGTGACTACAGATGATGAGGCCCAAAACCCTTCAGCAGGACACGACATTGGCGTTAGCGTCATTGTCAAGAATACCAGAAACACAGAAACCAGTAATCATGATGGAACCATATCTAAAAAAGGAGAACATATACACTGTCTTTCCCAACTCCCGTCTGTTGGTGTTGGTAATGGACTTCAAAATGGCATCTTGTCTACAATACCACCTGGTAACCATTACAACAAAAATGGATGTAAAGCTACCAGAGAGGACGGACAGCCAGTTAACCACCAACCAGCTACTTTCAATCAATTTAGCCCAATCTCCAGTGCTGAAGAGTTTGATGATGATGATAAAATTGAGGTAGATGACCCTGTAGACAAGCAGGCAAGTAAGTCATTCTTAAAAAAGAGAGAGGAGATCCAGAATTCAGGATCTCCTGCATATGTGGATAATCTTAACCAAATGTAAATAGAGACAAAATACCTGATAAAAACAAGAAAAACAGTGGCACATTTGGATGTTCCAGGTCTAATGATCCCAGCTTATCCAGTTTACCTGAGGAGAATCTCAAGGACACTATCTTCAAGTCGCAAGATCAGGAATGCAAGGAGGTTAGAGAGCAATCGGGGCTTACCAAGGTGTCTTGTTTGTCTCAAGTTAAAGTCATGTCCTCTACAAAGCTTTCATCTTGTATAGCAGCCATTGCGGCCCTCAGTGCCAAAAAGGCTAGTACTACAGAATTGTCTATAATAGATTCTCCCACAACACAGAAAGAACCCATAGTAGCCAATGATAAACCCAGAACTCCAGAAAAGACACAAGAGCCTGAGTCAGCCCTAGAATTTGCAAAGAGGCTGCTAACAAGACAACCAGAGAGCCCCTCTAGTGTCACAAGTGAGGGTAGCAGCAAAGGATCTCCAGAGTCAAGCACAGACACCACCCCGGTTATCCCAAAAGTCAGGATTAAAACTGTTAAAACCTCTTCTGGCCAGATAAAGCACACCGTCACCAGAGTTCTACCAGAGTTTGATCCTGAGGGTCTAAAAAAAGGAGAGAATAGCCCATCTATCATAGCAACGACCAGTGATATTTTCTCATTTCCCACAAGACCGTCTCTTCCAACCACAGTAGTAGCTACAACTGGAGGCCATTCATTAGAAATAACCAAGCAAATGACTATTAAACCTGTTGCAACAGCATTCCTGCCCGTCTCAGCAGTAAAAACAGCTGGTTCTCAAGTCATCAACTTGAAGCTAGCCAACAACAAAACCGTTAAAGCAACAGTCATACCCGCCGCATCAGTGCAAAGTGCCAGCAGTGCCATCTTGAAAGCTGCCAAGGCCATCCAGCAAAAGACTGTTATGGTACCTGCCTCCAGTCTGGCTAATGCCAAACTTGTTCCAAAGACAGTTCATCTTAGTCATCTCAATCTTTTGCCTCATACTGTATCCTCTGCTGTCTGTGACCTTAAACAGACCCCATCCCCCTCCAAACACCCACAGAATCAGCAACCACGTCAAGTCAAAAAGCAGATCATTCTTGCTGGCCGAACCTCAAAAAAAGTCTCAAAAGTTCAAGTATTTGCCAGCTCTCAAAGCTCTGTAGTGGATGCCTTTAATAAAGTGCTGAGTAGCATAAACCCTGTACCTGTGTATGTTCCAAACCTCTCTCCACCAACCTCAGCTTGTATCTCTATACCCTCACGTGGCTACAAGTGCCTAGAGTGTGGCGATTCATTTGCTCTTGAGAAAAGCCTGACACAGCACTACGAACGTCGCAGTGTGCGGATAGAGGTCACCTGCAACCACTGTGCCAAAAGTCTAGTGTTCTACAACAAGTGCAGCCTATTGTCTCATGCCAGAGGCCACAAGGACAAAGGGGTGGTCATGCAGTGCTCACATTTGATCCTAAAACCCATTCCTGCAGATCAGATGATAACCACATCACCCTCAGCCGACCCTTCCAACGTCACTGGCACCATCTCCCCAACTCAAGCACCCACAAGTCAAGTCCTGGCGAGAGTTGCTGGTGGTGGGTCCCAAACTGCAGTGATATCAGCTCCAAGCAGTGTTCCTATTGTGGCAGCCATGCCCTTGGAAGATGATGCATCAAAGCTCTGCAGGCACAGTCTTAAGTGCTTGGAGTGTAACGAAATGTTCCAGGATGACAGCTCACTAGCCATGCACTATCAACAGGCACCAGAGTCCAATGGGCAGGTGTGTGTATGTGAACTTCTGCAAAATATGTTTCAGTTGAACTTAAATTTCTGAATGTCAGAGAGTTTGGACTTCTGACATGATCATTGATTAACAACATTTAATTTGTTATGAAGCTGGAAAGTAAAAGTAAAAAACTGATTACATTATCCAATAAGCTGGCAAGATGACTTGACTCTGGTTTCATTAGTCCTTTAACTGCAGAATGTTGAGTGAAAAAAAATATTTTTGATGGAAAGATAACCCGTCTTATATCAGTGACAAAAGGAAAATGCTGTTTTTCAATGTATTTATCTTCTCTTTTCTGTGCCATAGAAAACATGTACCATCTGCCAAATGCTTCTGCCAAATCAGTGCAGCTATCTGTCGCATCAGAGAATCCACCAGCACAAGTCTCCTTACATCTGCCCCGAGTGTGGTGCCAGCTGCCGTTCTGTCCATTTCCAGTCACATGTCACCAAGAATTGCCTCCATTACACCCGTAGAGTCGGCTACCGGTTAGTGTACCCTAAATTAATTTATTTTTAGATACATTTGCATTTTAGTTTAACGCAAGATAAAAAATTCTTGTTTGGGAGCAAGAGTAGTCAAACTTTAATTTTCAAACTTTTTGACACATTTTAGACAGTAAAACAGAAACTAATCAATGGTATTTTCCATTGTGCAGTATTCTTCTTCTCTTAGTGGCTATCCAGAGACTTCAATGTCTTCTTCTATTACTTTCTTTTTTAAATTGCTTCTTATATAATTTCTAATGACAGTTATTATTATACTATGTTTTGACAATCCTTTACTGATATATTACTCACAACCAAATTCCCCTCACCAAAAACACCCCCTGGAACAATCCAAATTGTTGTAAGTCATCCAAGATAAAAGCCTTTAAAAAGACGCTGTCTGACCAATTATGGTTCTTTTATTAGTCTGACTGAACAAAATTGATATAGTTATACATAACCATTTAAATTAAAAAGAAATGTGGCATGTATATTGTCTGTTTTATGTGATAGTTCAATTTTCTGAGTTTTAACTTTAAAATTTTAAAATGTTGGTGCACAGAGAATATCTATGAAAGAATAATCCTGTAAAATGACTCTGGTCACTGTATGACCACCTTTATGTTGTTTGTTACAGACTTAGTTTCACATTTTGGGAAACAAAAACAGATATTAACATACTGTTACTCAAGTTTTTTGCAGTTAAATATATATATTTTTTTAAACACACAAAAGTTGTGAGCTTAACCTAGCGTTACAGCTTGCATGTTTCTGTCTAAGGGTTAAAGTATTCACCCAACACCTAACATGTATGAGTGAAATTCAAAGGTGTTACGAGGTGGATTTTTTTTCTTAATCTTTGAACAGAGACAGGCTAGACCGTTTTAATGCTAAGATAATCCAGACATCTCAAGGTTTAAGATTTAAGGGGAAAAGTCACGATTTAAGACCTAATATTGGCAGTTATATTGTCATTAAACCCTTAATGTAAAGTGAAAATGCTTATTTCTCATGATATCAAGCTACCCCCTGAAGCAAAGTGTTTAGAAATGAGTAGACCCGAGTGTATTGCTGCAGCATGGAAAACACAATAGGTAGTTTAAAAAAAAAAGATAATAAATCTTCGAGTCTAACCACACGCATTTTTTCTAATTCATTTTCCCTACAGCTGTGTCCACTGCAGTGTCATCTTCTCTGATGTTGCAACTGTTAAATCCCACATTCAGAGTAGTCACTGTGAGATCTTCTATAAATGTCCCCTCTGCCCCATGGCCTTCAAGACTGCACCTGGAACGCACTCTCATGTGAAAACACAGCATCCAGGAATGAAGGCAGGGGAGCCAAAGTAAGTCTTCTCATGCAGTTTCTACAATAATAAACACTGTAGACACTTCTCAAATACGGCGCTATTTTTTTATAGTTGTTGTAGCAAGTTATCATTTTACTGAAAATACATTTCAGTACAATTCAAAATTGAATCTGATCTACAAATATCTCAATAAAATGAACATGCAAAACACAAGCTTTTGCTGAAAGCTTTTCACTAACAAACACGACAACACACATCTTAATGTGCTTCCTTTCACACAGTGAAATGTAATACCTGTGTCCAATTAATTTATGCTCAGGAAAATCATCCTCGCTGCTTCATTGGCAGCAGGATTTCTTGGTTTTAGACATGGCGGCTTAACTTTGGTCTGTTTTTTTCCACATGGCAACCTTTTATTTTCTTTCATTACCATTACGGACGCAAGTGAAAATGGTTAGGAGCAGGTGATCATGTACCATTGTGTTGGTTTGTCCTTGGTAATGCCTGAGCTTAAAACTAAATAAATATCTGATGAGCATCAATAATAAAATACTAATAATACTTAAATCAATCGTTCACATTTTCAATATTTCTTTACATCATATTATCAAAATGACGATACATATATACAAAGATGTTTAACGTGATGTCTAAGTGCTGTTTTTTGTCTTTTAGGTTGATCTATAAGTGCTCCATGTGTGATACAGTGTTCACTTTGCAGTCCCTGCTCTACACACATTTTGACCAACATATTGCAAATCATAAAGTATCAGTGTTCAGATGTCCCGATTGCTCCATGCATTATGCACAGAAACAGCTCATGTTGGACCATATTAAGGTGGGCATAAACGGCTTGTTAAGGCATGCTTGACATTGATATACATTTTATGCATTCAGGCGTTTAATTTTTGTAGTCCCAGTGTTTTTACAGTGAAGTAGTGAATAGATTATTACTCTCTTTATTTTGGTTTCCACAACTGTATCACAGATAAGCCTTTAAATGTTAAACATACGAGTCCCTTTTGATTTCTTCGGTCATAATTCTTTCTTCATATACTGATCTCTTGCAGGCCATCCATGGAACCTTAAAGACTATCGAGGGTCCACCAAACTTGGGCATCAACCTCCCTCTCAGCACCAAGCCAACTAACTCTAACTGTACCAACAGCCCCAGTAAAACTAGCAACAAAGAAGGAGGAAATGTCAATGGCCAAGAGAAGGGAGAGAAGAAGCCTTCACCTTCAACCCTAAAAAAAACAAATGCTAACTCATCAGCTGACCTCAAGAACTCAACTGGCTCAGGATACACATGCGGAGACTGCAACAACCTCTTCAATTCCAGGGAGGTTTTTGTTGCTCACATGAGGCATGAACACAGCAAGGTGAGTGTTCAAACTACTTTTGTTTAAGGAAGAATGTGCGACATTTTAGTCTTAGGGTTGACTCATGATTATTAGCTGACTGTATTTTATTTTATTTAATTTCCTAAAATTGCAGATACTGAAGAAACATCCATGTCGTCAATGTGACAAGTCCTTTAGCTCCTCCCACAGCCTATGCCGACACAACCGTCTCAAACACAAGGGACTAAAGAAAATCTACACCTGTCCGTGAGTACAGACCCAGCGTTTTGTCTTACGAGTCCTCTGTTTCTAATTACAATATACTTTGTTTGGAATCTCAAAAAGCATGTGCTAATTCCCTGCTACAGTTCTAAGATACATAAAAGGGAATTGCAAATGCAAGTTTCCAAAGTCCTACAAAAGAGAAATGCTTTATGTCTGCAAATAATACAAGACAAAACCTGCTTGCAAGGGGTAATATTTGTTATTTTGTTGTACTCTGACAGGCACTGCCCAGCTCTAAGTCAGCCATTCACTAAAAGAGTGCTGCTGGATCAGCACATTCAGCTGATGCATGAAGTCAAAGACCCAGAAGGAAAGACTGCCAACTCCAATAATAAGGACGCTTTTCCGGTCAAGGAAAAGGTACAAGGGCAAAAGAAAAAGAAAAATCAGACAAGGAAGTGCTCCTTGTGCATCTGAATTCCTTATGAGGGTATATTCTATAGTAATTCCTAACTTATCATTTGTATCTTCTCGACAGACCCTAAGCCCTAAAAGAAAACCAGAAGAAGATGAGGGTCCCCCTGGGTTGAACTGCAGGGGCTCTGACTCACAGCCGTTAAAGAGGCTCAAGGTGAACATTCTCAAAATTCACAAGTGTGCCGTTTGCGGCTTCGCCACAGAGGACATCATGGCGTTCCACGAGCACATCCCCCAGCACAAGTCTGACGGCTCGTCCTACCAATGTCGGGAGTGCGGCTTTTGCTACACCTCCCCCCGCTCGATGGCCCGCCACCTCTTCATAGTCCATCGGCTGAAGGAGCCGCAGGGTCTCGCTCGCTACAACGGACGAGGCAAGGAAGATGACGAGAGTCAGAGAGAGAACCAGCTGGATGTTACAGACGAGAACAATGACGGGACACCAAATACCAAGTGTAAAGTTTGTGGGAAGAAGTTCGAAACGGAGGGAAATCTGAACACTCACATGAGGACACACGGGATGGCGTTCATAAAGTCAAAGAGACTGAGCGCGGCTGAGAAGTGAGAGGAACACACGTTTGAACCATTCCATATGAAGCCAAACTGTACAAGGTTAAAACTTGTGCATATACATGATGTTCAATAGAGCACTATATGTAAACAGTATAGAGGAGGAAAAAAAAGTAATATATGTCAAAGTCACTTCATGTGACGTCAAGTAAACTTAACAAGATAGTTTTTGGTACACATAGATGAATAGATTTTTTTTTATAGCAGAGATGTGTTTTTATTTTCACAGATTCCATCGTTGTTTACTCATTATGTCTCGATAATAAAAATGTGGTTGTTATGGGATTAATCCTCATAAAGGTCAGCAGTGTTCTGAATCTTCAAAGCTGCTAATGTCCAATGAATGTCTGAAAGAAAAAAGAAAAGTATGTTTCACTTTCCTTTGAACACGTCAAGCTAAAGTCTTACCAGGCCGAAGAATAGCTTTTAAGTGTTTTTGTTTACAATTATTTTATTTAACGGAAAACCTAAATGTCTTTCTGATCTATCCCAAGCGTCTTAAATGAACTCTTGCTTTAGTCTCTTTCTGAAATATACTAAGATCAAATCTCAGAATTAACTCGGGACTTCAATTCTATTCAATTTCACAAGATTTTTCAGACAATCAGACAACGATGAAATTTACTACATGTTCAGCTACATCTCCAAACAACTAAAACATTTGATATAACTTAATATATTTAACACATTAACAACCATTCAGAAGTCGAATGAACTTACTGTACATGAAGTTTTAGGGATCCACATTCATGGCGCATTTGACCTAAAAACATGATCTCTTTTTTTAAACGAATCAACTAATATATCACGAATATACTTTCTAAAAGGTTGTCAAACTTTTTAATGTTTTATTTGTGTCTTATTATACACTATATGGCAGCTCTCTGTGATTAAAAAAATCACTTTAAAACGTTTATTTACCTGAATATTTTAAGTATAAGATACAAAGCACTTACCTTTTTGACCTGTAAAGGTCAGTATTTCATCTTCATTATGAGGTTTCTTTGGTTTGATGGTTAAATGAATGAAAACTATTACGAATGTAAACTAGGCTGTGAAATTGACTTTTCAAGAAGACAACTCGTTAAAATAAGAAATAAAAAACCAAGGAATCTAGGTTGGGATAATGTAAAGATTGTTTTGCATAGCTTTCTTTGATACAAGCATTCCTAAAACAAACATCATTCAGTTTTTGACAGTCCTTTTTTCTACTCTGACAATAAGAGTCATGCTGTAAAACTGCATGTGAGAGGCAGTCTGTGAACTATTTGTCACTTAGAATGTGTCTGCTGCTGTTTTGAAACATTTCTGATGCTGGTGTAAAAAGCTGTTCTCTATGTCAAATAAATAATGAAAACCTGACAGAAGGTGTGATGTCCCCTGCATATGAGAATTCAGATCTTCTAAGAGGGAAGATATCAGAAACCACTATGTGATCATTCACACTAATGCTCGCAAAACGGTGTGTATCTTGATCATCAATATGAATCATTTTGTAAAAGGACCTTTAAGATTCCTTTAAGTTGTTTTCTTTTAAAACTTAGCTTCCTCTAGTTGATTTCTTCAAAATGGACCGCTGTAGATTAAATGTCATTTTTAGTGGACAGACATTTGGTCATAGTGTCAACACGGGACCTTTGGTAGTAAATGTGCGCATGTCTGCACCAATTGGCAAAAGAAAATGCGCAAATATTGAGAAATTGGTACTCATCAATGGCTTAATAAAATGACACTGGTTCATATAGAAAAATAAATTCTTTACTCTATGAAGAGAAATAACTAATTGATTTCTAACGACTTGTAATCAGTTCAAGTGATTGAAACAGTGGGTCCAAGTTTGCCCCAGGAAACAGTGATTCAATCTTCCCTCTAGCATGATCAACGAGTCACAATTAATCAGAAAGTGGATGCGTTATATTCAAATGTGTTTATGTAAAAGTTTGTCTGCCTGGGAGAAGTCAGGGCACTTCATATTGGTTTTGAAGACAAGCTTGCCCTCTAGTGGTCATTGTCGAACTATTTCAATAACTCACCTTTAAGTAGTGTGAAACAAATGAGACAAATAGTTTCAGTAAAAAAACAGTTCAGATGAAACATCTCATGTAATAAATGTAAGAGTATAGTAGTAGAGTACAGTACTTCACTGTGTGATGATATGAAAGGCCCAGTACACACAAAGTCACACTGGTTCTATTGTAAAAGATTAACTGACCAAGTGGGGTTGATGAGAGTACCTGCATTTAATTATTCTGATCCAGTGTTGTGACATAATCACAGCCTGCGTCATTTTGTTATCCCATGTAACCAAATCCTGGTCACACCTGATGTAGAGAACCAGGTGGAGACAACCTGCAGTTGCCAAAGCAAGCATTCAATCCATCCCATGCAAATTGAATTTCACGCTACCTTTGTGATGACGATGTGTCCCCTACAATGTTATTTAAACACATATGCTGTAAGAAAATGCATTACGCCCTGAAAATGGCCATGAGTTCGGTGGTGTTACTTGTATTTGCAGGGTGTAGCTTAGCCTTGGACAACACACAGGATTTGAATGTGTCTCAAAGGTGTATGGAGGATACCACCACTTTCCTTTGGGAAATCAACCAGGACAGGCCGAAAGACTACGCTGTTCTCAGTAAGTGTTGCTGTGTTTCAGAGTACATTTCTTACTGTATTTTAGTTGTAGAGTCACTTGTTATGGAGTGGATCAAAAGCAGTTAGACAGGCAATCTATGGGAATGATGGAAAAAAAAAAGTCATTAGATCAGACATTATAAGATCTGTAATGTGCTTCAACTTGAAATGCAAAACAAAGCACAGTAAACTTTTAGTAAAAACACCTTGGCTCACATTGTAAAAAAAATTATACACTTTTTTATTTTTGCGATTTCACTGAAAACAAATATACACACAGTGCTCAAAAGCTTTTTTTCTCCTTCCCTTGAAGTATCAGTTTAGTATCAAATACATAACTAACAGTCTTATCACATTGCAGCAACTTATTAATGCCAACTATACAGAGGAAGTTCAAGGGATTACAATCAATATGAAGATGGTACAAGTTGGTAAAGTTATTATAATTGCTGATGGAACTTTAAATAACAATTTCATTAAATAATTTATATTTATATTAAAGCCCTAGCCTAATAACTCACATCCAAAAGTCGAGAGAGCAACTTGTAGGCCCTCATAAAAAATAGAAAATAATTTAAAAAAATATATTCCTATGCATTTGACTGATTATTAGTAGAAAACAATAACACTACAGCTAGTTGCAAAACAGGTAATGTGCACAGTAAAATCCTCAAAAAAAAAACACATGATACGAAAATATTCAACACAGGAAAACAGAGATTTTAAACAGATGTGTTCTGTCGAGATTTGCTGCCTTGTAGAAAAATACCTTCCTAAAGGATCCCAGTTTATAACACCACAACTCGCTGCATTTACTCTGAAGAGACAGGGGAAACATAGTTTAAAACCTTTACTGATGATTTTGGAGGAAGCATATCTCGTTAAATAATGATCTCTGTACTGCACCCGCATGGTGGGTAGCAAATTTCGATGGGTAGCAATATTCGATAGAACACCTGTTGAAAACAGGAGCTAGAGACAGACAGAGTAAATGTGATACTTACGTTTAAGGTAGACTGGTCCATATCCATGTAAAACATCTCCAAACACTTCTTGCAACGTTTATCATTCAGTTTTTTCGCCAGTTTATCTGTTTATCTCCTGTTTGGGAATCTGCTAACTTGCTAAAGACGTGCTAAGATGTGCTTTTATTTTGTACAGTCTATGGTTTTATGTTGTGAGTGTATCGCTGGATTCAACATTTTAATTTTCTCTACCGTAGACCTGTTTGTAATAATAGTTTGTGAAGACTTCATTTTGACCGCGTCTCCTTGTTAAATACTAACTAGTCAAGTAGTCTGACTTTACCTGACGCACTGTTATTTAGGGTGCAATACCGTTTTTGACCACACAGGGCTGCTATCACTAAGCGTTGCAACCCAGGGGGGGCGCTGTTTCTCCCATGTGGCAGGTAGTTGGAAAACGAAAGCTTGATAACGAGTTTTTTATATCATAAAATCTTGTTAACTTTTGTAATTTAAAATGAAAATACTATTAAAGACAATATAAAGCTTTAGTTCTAGATTGCTTCTGTGTTTCCAGTAGGTTAGTAAAATAAGAATAACAAGATTTATTTCTTAAATATTTTAAAGGACTTATAGTTTTGTCTTTTAAAAAAAAAAATTAGTAATAACATGAAAAACTGATCATGCGTGTGAGATATGTTTCATATTATCACAGTTTTACCTTTGCATTGTATAGCAGAGTAATATAGTAGTACATGAAACTCAAAATATAATTTGTGTTTATTAATAACGCCTACATATTGATTACTGAAAAATATTAAAGTTAAAGCATGAAATATGGGCTCATATGTAAAAAGTTGTTCTGTAGTGGTTAAAAGCAATTCAGTTCAGTCACCAAAAATGTAATTGAACAAATAAGCAAATCAAAAATAAATGGGAAATCATAATCAATGGTCAGTATTAATTTAAGCATGTTTTTCAATTTACATATTGTTTATGGTGTATGAATCACTAAGTAGCTTTTTGTGTGTGTGTTATGTGATGTTGCTTGTGTCTTTTTTTTTGTGTCAGTGTATGATGCATTTGGAAAGATGGGCAGCAATGTTGAAGGAGGTAACTCTAACCGGCCCGGCTTACTGCATCAGTGTCGCTCTGCTGAGGGCCCTTCATTCTCTGGACGGTACTGCCAGGTGTTCCTGAGGCAGGTAAGAACAAAAAGTGATATAAGAGGAAAGTAAATCTCATTAGGTGAGATTAGGTGATCCTGAACAAAGTTTTATACTTTTACCTTAGGGAACAGCCCAGTACTTTGTGGGTGTGTGTGTTCCAGACTCATGCGAAGAAGAGGATTTGCAAATGCTGGTGCTTTATGGTCAGTGATGAATCTGTTCTCTCTGCACTCACTGTGGATTATTCAGTCAGTCCAATACTTGTATTGTATTACTTGTGACATGCTTTTCTGACAGGAAGACTTGAGTATGGTCAGACGTCCCTCATTCCTCCTTTACCACACATCCTGGTCAATGAGTCGACTCAGGAGTTAATCATGACCCATTGTATGTCCAACACTATTACCCCTGATGCATCAGATATCACCTGCCTGTCAGTATATAATTGGACTTTTTTTTTTACATCTTCTATACTGTCTTAACTGCATGTTGAATATATGTCTGCAAGGCTAACTCCCAGGACTTTCTTGAAGTGTAAAATGGTTTATTTCCTCCTGCAGGTTTGTGTGTTGCCTTATGGTTGCAGTTCCTCTTGTTGCTACCTTGTTTACAACTCTGATAAGGAGGCAGAGGAGCAGAGAGGTCAGCCCAGCAGAAGAGTCTTCCTCTTTAAATGCCAGCCTTGGCCTTTATGGGACGATGAAGACCAATGGCTCCTCCAGTATTGAAATTAACAGCAACACTCCAGAAGAAAATAGTCAAAGTAAGTACATGACTTCCTAAAAATACTTCCAAAGATGATGCATTTATGCTCTGCAAGTCTGAGATTTAAAGTGTACCCATCTTTCCTAGACAGCACCAGCCCAAAAACACTGTGTTTTCCTCGAAGCTGTTTGTATCAGTGCCTTCAGGTGTTCTCTCTACAAACTGCGAGCCAGGGTGTTTTGAGCACCTCCTCGTGTAGTCGAGAAGGAGGCTTCTCATCCCTGAATGGCATCCGTGTTCTCAGCCTGTTATGGATCATATGTGGACACTCTGCACAGTTCCCCGTCATAAACAACCTGGGTATGACAAATCTCCCTTGCCACTTTCATCTGCTCTTTACTAACTAATTTCACATTCTTGCACTGCGTTGTCTCCATCACAGATAACTACAAAAACTGGAAGAAAACAGCAGAAAGCAGCCCTCTGTATGTGCTCTCCATGAGTGGACCTGTGTTTTTGGCTGTAGACACCTTTTTACTTCTTGGGTGAGACTGAAACAATGTGCAGTTTAAAGCTGTAGTTGTTTTGCCATATGTCATCTTTTCCTGGCTAGTTTTAGAAGTTCCTAGTGCAGTTTTTGTGTTTTAGGGGTCTGCTTAGTGCAAGGTCCCTGCTGGGCTCCATCGACAGGGCTGAAGACAAACTGAGCCCCAGTTTGGTGACCAGCTACCTCTTCAGGAGGATTAAAAGGTTCTGTATGATAAGCATTCACTCTATAAAGTTAGGATAATCTATCTGTGTCACTGTTTATTACATTAAAAAAGATTTAGATTTGTTTCATTATTTTGCTGTGGTAAACAAATTTCTCTTTGTCTTTCTTTTTCAACAGGATTCAACCACTGCATCTGTTTATTATGTTTCTGACCATTGGCCTGATCTCTCTGGTCCAGTGGGGGCCCTACTGGTTCCCATTCATAGATACATTAATGGATTGTAAGACTTACTGGTGGGCTAACTTGCTATTGATTAGTAACCTCCTTCCAGTCCATGAAATTGTGAGTTCAAGCAGTAACTTGAACTAAAAACTAAATGAACTAAAATTCCATTTCAACAAACTGTATTTCTTTACAGACCAATTTTATCACCTGTTCTCTCCTCAGTGTATTCCTTGGACATGGTACCTGTCTCTGGACTTTCAGTGCTACGCCACCACTCCTGTGTTGATCTATTTTTACAGACTGTAAGTCCTTTAAAGTGATTCTGGAAAAAAAAGTGATTTTTAAGTCTTTTACTTTGGAAAAATATTGTATTTGTTAGCCAAAGTCTCCTGTCCTGAACTCATCATCATCCTGTATTTCATTTTTTTAGAAACAAAGGTGTGTTTGCCTTTGTTGCTGGAGGCCTTCTGCTGACAACCGTTACGACCAGTACTGTTATAACTGCGCTCCTTCATCTTCCAGTCTTTCAGCCCTCTACACTGTAAGACATACGGACGCTGATATAATGCAAACAGCTTCAAACCAAATGCATGAAATGTGACTTACATGTCCAATGGTTTTCCTCACCCTGTACATTTTCTAATGTGTATCTCCGAAGTTAGAGAGTTCAAAGGCTAAGTAGCCAGTTTCTGTAAAAAATGTAAAAACCGTTAGATTTCTTTCCTATTATTTTTTTCCAGGACATCTGAGCATTATGTCTTGTATTACTATGTGAAACCCTACACGAGATATGGACCATTTCTGATAGGGATCTTGACTGGAATATATTTGACAACAAAGAAAGATCATCTGTTAAAGAAAAAGGTGAGAACTCCACACAAATCTTAAAACATTTTTTTAACTAGATATGTGAAAATATCATGTGCTCTTTTGAATTACTTTCAAGCCAAACAGATTGACTAACCTGCCATCACACTGATTTACTTCTCATTTCTCTTTGTTGTTTCAGTGGCAGGCAACACTTGGTTGGTCCTGCTGCCTGTCCGTTATGGCTGCGTTGGTTGGACTGGCCTATGTCCTCAAGGAGACACCACCCTATCCCTCTGTGCCACATGCACTCTACCAGGGGCTGCACAGACCTGTCTGGGCTCTGGCTGTGACCTGGATCATAGTGGCTTGTGAGGAGGGTTATGGAGGTAAACCAAGGGCAGGGATGTTCTTTAGTCTTATTATAACATTCAGGACAAACAATACACAATTTCAAATAAGCATATATTTAAGTATTTGCTTCTTTGTGCGTTCAAACTCTTGCTCATGGCAGTAACATCTAAAGCAATATGAAAATAATCGGGAGAATGTGGGCGCCCTAACCTTTCTCTCTGAAGTATATAAACCAAAATTGATGATTTTGTTAAACAAATACGTATGCATACCTCTTGTTAAGACAAATATAAGGGTAGAAACATACGCTGATAAATCTCTACCACCTAATTTTCAATTTGTCTCATTGTTCTTCAAGGTTTTATCAACAGCTTCTTGTCATTGAATGTCTGGGGTCCTCTTTCCAACATAAGTTTTGCCTGCTATCTATCACATCCTGTCTTTATCATCGTCTACATCGGATTACAGGAGACACCGATCCACTACTCAGACATCAACTTTGTAAGTTCTTTGGACAGTTTCATCAAACCTAATTTAAGTTTTTTACCATCATTAGTGGGTTGCTCTATGTTTCTTATAATGTAATGTGTTGTGTGTCTCCTCTGTTTTTTAGATGTACATGTTCCTTGGCCACCTTTCACTCACACTCATTGTGAGCTATGTGCTCACTGTGCTGATTGAGAGGCCATACCTCAACCTAAAATGGAGCTGTAAATAAAACAAATCAGCAGTCACAAAATTATACAATTGACACCCTTTAACTTGTTTTCTTTTCATCTGTGCCTTGTAAGCTATACTAATGCTCTCTTTTGTTGAAAATAAATGTTTGTTTCTAAGAAGACAAAAGTTTGATTTTGAAGCCAGTATTTACTGTAAACTTCCAAACAGTCTGCAGCTCACACACAAATAAGATACTATCATTTAAATCAACTTGTTCGTATACCTTTACTGTGATACAGGGGAAAATATGATATGATACTAATGCAACTAGAACCAAAAACACCAAAAATAGCTGGAATGCAGAGTTGGAGAAAAAATAACCTGCTTCTGTAAAACAGACTTGATTTTGGGGTTAACGGTTTAACATGTACAATATTATATCTTCTGCATATAAAGATATTTTAGATATCGGCTTGGATATAAAATTCTTATAAACATTTAATCCATTCTAAAATATGTGGAAGGGAACTACAAGTTCTTTAAACTGTAGAGAAATGGGCCAATCCTTGAACTGTTCTGCCTGTGAGGAATAAAACAAGGCTCTTATAATTACACAAAAAGAAACCTTTGTGAAGAAAATATAAGAAACGTCTTTTATGACGTACCCTCGCAAAATATAATACAGTCATGCGGTATGACTAATCTGTCTGCTCCATGGCCCTCTCATGTCATGACTTGATTTTTTTATGCACTACATACTGAATGAACAATAAAACTGACCCTAGGAATGAGCAGTCTTCAGTCATACATCATCATGCCAGGAAGACTTCTTAACACTGAAGCTGATTTTATAATTTTCAACTGCTGAAATGGTCTTGTATATTTTTTAAAGACCAGAGTAACAATAATAAATGCTACTCTTGAAGAAATAAAAAGAAATGGTGTTGAAAAACTTGAATGTCTGAAATTTAAATCTAACGCTGTCCCTTTCAATTTTTCAGTTTTGTATAGGGGTATTCATTTTCTCTTCTTAATTTTAATAAGACGTTTTACAGGTCAGAATAAATACAAATAGATTATTAATTCAGGACAATTACTTGTGTATTAAGCACAGAGTTATATGTAGAGTCACATAACTTTATCACCAGCTTTAATCATGTTTCTAGGGCACAATCTCATTTAAAGTTTGAAGTAATTAGGGACTATGATAGGATTCATTTGAATGGCTTCATCATGTTTCCCTGCAGTCTTCTGTATACAATTAACTAGTACACAGTTTTTCACAGCACTTTCCATGACAGTGAGTCACAATATACAAGTGAAACTGACTCAACTGATGAGATCATAACAAAGGTTTTTCGTTTCTTATGACGCACAAAAAGCACAGCTACGTTTCTATCCCAGCACTCGAGCTATGCAGGGTATTTGCTCTGTTATGTGTTGATTTAAGTTGAGTATTCCTATGTGACCAGCCTCAAAGGAATACTTTGTTCCCTCTGCTGCTGGCACAGAAACAAACTCCTTATGTGGGGATTTTCACTGCAGCATTAGATGACCCTCACTGTCAATTGCTGTCCAAGCACTGACAATTTGTCAGCTTAATTGTTCAATCCCTCCAGAATTTTTTGCATACATTTCAAGATTGAGCATCCAATTCTTTCAATAAAACGATGTCCTATATCAGAGAAATATGGAGAACGCTGGGTTCTTGGTGGTGTAAGATCAATGCCAAATATGCTTTCCTATTTATTTCATAACACTGTTAAGGTGTGTCTACAATTTGTCTGCTGTGGCGTTCCTGCCTTTATGGGGTCTGGAAAAGCATCCTTCAGCTGACTCTCTCAAGTACCCACACAAACAAAACATGGTTGTGACGCACACTTCTCACATGTGTGGCACCATTTTCCACCTTAATGCTGTTGGGGGAAGGAGGGCAGACACCAAGCTGAGGCAGACTGTGCAACAACACGGGGTAAAAATACATCTTGCTTTGGTAAGATGACACTTCCCCCACTTTGACTACGAGAGTCCACAAGGGGCCATGTCCCACCCAAAACCCCACAACAACATGCTCAAGATGTTGTAACATACATGAGAATGATGGAGCTTTTCAAATGTTAATGCTGTTTTCAGATCCATTGTATAACTGATGTACTTATTCAGTTACAAGTTGAAGTCATGCATTAATTCATAAATAATAAAAGTATGTAGCCTAAGTATTTCAAAATTAAAAGTACCAATTATGTAGAAGACTGATATTTGTGATAGTTTTCTTTTTATATGAAGTTGTTGGATAAAGGTTACTGTAGAAATTATGTGTGTAATATATTTTTCTAGTTTGAATGTTTTGAAAAACCGAGTATCTCGCAAAAGTCTTCATGAGCCCTAATCCAAGGGAATTCGAAAAAGTTTACTGAATTCAAAAAGTTAAATAAATGCCTAAACTGAAGAAAAAAAACATAGATCTAGATAAACACGCACTAAAAGTCCATTTATATTTGCTTGTTGCTTGGGAGATTTACACGGCTCCATAAAGACAGGTGTGGATGCGAGTGTTACATAATGGCACAAAAAATTGAAAGGACATTTTAATGGCTTGTGTCTTCAACTTCTGCAGTAAATTGCAGTCGTAGCAATACAAAAATGTAGTGTGTGTGTTTGTGTGTGTGTGTGTGTGTGTGTGTGTGTGTGTGTGTGTGTGTGTGTGTGTGTGTGTATGTGTGTGTGTGTGTGTGTGTGCATCATTCATAAAACTCAGCGCTGGCTGCTCGTACACACACTCTAACAATAGTATCTTTGCACAGTGCTATGCCAAAGTTGTTGGAGGAGTCTACGAGTGTACTATCTAAAAATAATCTAAAAGATTTGTTTTCTTTATTTAATTAGAAACTTGGGCACTTGAAACATTCCTGTTTTATTGGAAGGTCTTTGTAGTTAAACCACAATTTACAATGTGGTGATTTTATAGCAGGGAAACCATCTGCATCCAACCACCTGTCACAGACCCATTATACAAGAGCAGTAAAGAAAAAAACACTTCCAAAACAGTCATTTACGGTGTTTATGAAACAACATTTAGTTAGCAGGTTTTTTTAAAAGACATACAGGGAAATGACATGCACTTATCTTTGTAAACAACTCTGCAGAGGGTTTGATTATTCAACCAAAACTATGACACCATCTTAGTTTTTGTAAATGTGAAAAGTTGTGAGAAAATATTCCAATATTAGATTAAGAGACTGAAAGAGTTCAAAGGACTCTCCAGGTGTTTACGTACAGTTTTAGTCAAATCAAATGTGTCATCATAGGCCCCAAGCTTGAGTTGTTTTTTTTAAAGTTAACTTGGATCATAAAAAATAAAATAAAAATGGATGACCTTTTTAAGTCTTAAGTCAATCTGATTTTTCTTCAAGTCCAGACAAATCTTAATATTTTAGAAAATGTGTATGTTTGATTGAAAGTTAGATAAAAAAGATGATCTCCCCTCTTAAATCCTACCACTCAAGAAGCATTAATTCTTAAAACTGGGGAGACAGTTAGCTTGGCTCTTTACAAATAATGACTCTACCAGCAACTCTGAAACTAAAAGATTACCAGACTAGTTCCAGTAATTGTTTCTTTTATGCTAAGCTACACTAATCATCAGTTGCTGTAGCTTCACAATTAGCATACAGAAATGTAAGAATCTGAAATTGTCTCATATATATTTCATGAAGTTAAAAGATGTAAAACTTTTATAAAAAAGCACTGTGATGAGGACTTCTCGTTATGGCGGCGAGCTAGGTGGACGTGGTTACTCATGCTCCGTTGCTAATCTTGAAATGACACAATCCCAAACAGCAAAAAAGAAACAAATAAGCGCAAAGCACTGTGATGTGACGTAGTCTTAAATTCACCCTTTTCCCTACCAACTTTGGACATTGGGAGCAGGTGAGTAATTGCTAACTGTTTCATTACTTGAAAAACAAACAACAGTCATGCAAGCCGTCCTGACTTCAATTATCACTCTTCAACTGAGCTATTGGACCATTTAAATTACTGGAAACTGACATGACATTTATGTCATCAGGGATTAGATTGTGTTCACTGCATATGAAATGAGTTATTGAATAAATGAGAAGCAAAGTCACATTTAATCACTGTCACACTGGGGCAGGATAATTGACGACTGACAGTCTTCCAGAAAAGCCAAGTAAGGTCTCATTAGTTTGTTTTGGCCACTGACAACAGTGTATTGTTTCTATGCCAGGGTAGTTAGGGTGTTACAGTTGCCAGAACAACATGACCCCAAATGTCACGAGTGCACTGTAAACAATTTCATATCAAAAGAATATTTACTATTCATACATTTATTGTGTGTGGAAAACAAACTGTACCCTTTGTTTTGTTTGTTTTTTGTTTGTTGTCTTTTTTTGTCCGTCTTTCTTTTTTTTTTGTTTAGAACTTTGAACCCAATTAGTGTAAGTTGAAAAGAGGTTTACCGTTTACTGGAACAGAATATACTTCAACATGAGTTCATTTTGGGAAAATGTTTATTTTTTTGTAAAGTTTTTACTAGTTCTTGTGTTAGTTTTAGTTTTTTTGGTCTTATATTATGAATGCTTCAGGGAAAGTTATCAAGCAATGTCTTTAAAAAAAAATTCCCTTAATATTGTGTTAGTTATCGTGATTTGGTAAAGCTTCGTTGTTAGTTTGGTTTCAGTTCACAAAAATGTTTATTACATAATAATAACAATAATAACCGCGCTATGTAGGCCTAAATATTAGCAAGGAAGTTGATAAATGCTACCTTTAGCATTTTATATCTTTATATGATGAAGATATGAACAGAAGGGTTACATTTAAGCTAACTGTAATATCAGCAAGAAAGTGGTTTTAATGCTAATGTTAGCTGTTGTCTTACTGATGACCCAGCGGTATAGTTATTTTAATGTCAGCTAGGAGGTAGCTGAATGCTAACATTACCATTTGACAGTGCTTCATGAAACACTGAAAAGGAGTAAAAACTTTGCTAACTGTACTTTTAGCTTTTGGTTATAACCGTATGTCACTCCAGATTTTCTTTATCCGGGACCTTTTTTTCGGCTGATCAGTCTAGAAATGGCAAACTGATGATTGTCAGATAACCTGTAGAAATAAATGTCACCTTAAGGCTTTAGCACAAACATAACAGAATTTAGTTTTCTGTCCTT